AGACAAGTCATCTTTATGTTCTGTTTCATCATCTGATTGGTTGGACATTCAAAAATATTAATTTTTCTCACAGAAAAATAGTTCTTTTTTGATACATGATTCTGAAACATATTACAGACTGTAGTCTAGATACCTCAGCAATCACACACAACTTGAATTCTATTTTCTGTTTGACATGTAATTTACTCTTGTTATTGTTAGTGATTATATTGCTATATATTTTGACAATCTGGTCTGTCAAATTTTAATTTTTTTTTATGCTGAACCAATACCTGCTGCTTTGTAATTTATACAGTCCTGGAGATTTTGATAGTACTGAATATTTTAAATTTTTTGATAAAGTCATCAGACTAAGACTCAAGTAGTTGTAGAAAATGCAGAGTAATATAACTGATGAAGTTTTCTGTCAAAAGCTTCAAAAGATCTTTGACAAAACAAAGTACATGTTAGAGCATAGTTTTTTCTATTGCCTTCTTGATTGGTAGTAACATTTTGATAGATTGTCAAGTTTCAAAAAAATAAAAAATTGCTTTTATCATAGAATCTCTTTCTTATTTATATGATAACCTTATTGTTGCACTCAACAACAATTCTCAGCACATTAACTTCTTTTATATTATTTTCTATATTTTCAATAAAGAAACTCATTAATACAAGAAAAAGACTGATTCTCCTGATCATTTTATGTTTACTGCTAATTTCAATCAGTCCTGTTTGTCAATTGACTGATTTATAATTATCTGTCATAGTTATAGTCAAATGAATCACTTCAAGAATGAGTGTGAGACATTTGTGGCATAGACCATCAGATCTTATGATAAAGAAATTGTCCTCTAGACTGATATTTAAAAATTATAGTAACAGTAAAAGATTAATTTCTCTATATTTATTTATTATACTCTTTTTCATTCTTTTTGTTTTAGATCCTCTAGATGTCATAAAATAGCAAGAGTGTTGAGATTTAGTTTTTATAGCTTTAATATAATATTTTATTTATATATATATATTATTTATTTTATACTTTGATATTTTTATACCTGTTAATTTGACTCAAAAACCTCACTATCTCTACTCTGTACAATGAAATATACTTTTTTCTGAATCACCAATACTTAAATTTCAGCAAATCAACTGTATTTCTATTATATGGTCTCATTCTTTATATTTAGTGAACCTGTCCTGTCATGTTCATATTGGCTTTTGCATTAATTGATCAACTTCAAAGTCAACATGGTCTTTTCCACTTTCTCATTTGCTTGCATATATAAGAAAATATCTGTAGCCTGCCTGTATATATATTGAGAGTACTTGCCAAAATCCTCCTTAGATTTAGCCTTCTTTATCTTATCCAATTCTTTGTGTCTTTCTAGTGGCTTGCTCTTTCTGGTATATCTTGCTGAGTTATTGCCAGTCTTTATCAGAGAACTTCATTTTATATATATTGCAGATTGCTACTACATCATTTGCTGTTGAAGTGTCAGAAGTGGTATATAGTGGTCAAGAGTAGTGAGACTTTGGACAGATGCAAGCCATGTCTCTTTTCATATAATTGAAGCACTTTTCCTTCTTGCAGAAAGTGTCCACATCTATTGGCTGTCTTTGGCCACTATATATTACACTGGTTGAGATCCTTTGATCACCTCCTGCTGGCATAGATCTCTTTTAGAGCAATCCAGCCATATTCATCTTGATACCTCTCATGCCTGTGGTATGGCTACTCTCCTTTATGATATTGACATAGTAATTATAGTTCATCTGCAGGACTCATTGTTTCTATTTGTTATATGTGATCAGAAAATTGCTGTCTTCTAACAAATAGTGTTTTGGATGTTGAGGTATATAGCATTTTCTATCTGCTTATACATTGCTGTCCTGTCCTCTAACTTCTCTGTCTGGCATGCCAACTCTTTGAAGTCCTAGAAGAATGCCTTGGCATCTCTGTAATTAGTCTGCCACAATGCTCTCTACTTAATCTGATGGAGTTTCATCTTCTCATCCTCCTTGAACTATCTGGTCACTGCATCTTTGAAGTCTGGGTATGATGAATATTGCTATTGTCTTATCACTCATGCATCTTTCCTTCAAACTGCAAGGAGCAAAAATTGACTTGATGTATGCTGAAACTACTATTGCACATTGAGAAGTAGGTACTATAGATCTTAAAATAGATCTTGCACTGGTTGAAAAAGCAGATGAGGTCTGCACTTTTTCTCTCAAATAATACTAGTTCTCAGGCAATAGTCAGTTTCAAGTTTTTCATAGCTTCATGCTTTCTGGTTGCCATAAAAGTGGAGTATCAGCAGGAATGGTAATGATGATAGCAGTGCCAGGTTTCTGAGTCTCAGTAGTAACAACAGTTATCAGTTGTAATATGGATTCTACAGCAGAGAAGCAGCTGGTGCTGATAAAACAGATTCAGCTGAAGCTGATGGATTGTCTGGCAGAGTACTCTCCAGTCCAGTGCCAGTAAAGAGTCTACTCAGAAAGGATGGCAGTGATGCTGAATACTTATAAAAGAGGTTTTGCTTCTCTGACTATACTAGCTTAATATAGCCAAAGATGGCTGATGGGATACTCAGAATAATGATTTGTAGAGGATCAACATCTCTATGCACCTCTTCTCTTTTACTACTCTGACAGTGTTTTGTACTCATGTCTATATTCATAATTCATCTACAAAATCTTGATTGAGTTCTGCCATACTAAAATACCATAGACCTTCATCTGATCTAAGCCATCATGTGTCCTTTAGCTGCCTATCTCTCAACTTCCAGTGGTGTATCAGCAGATTCCTCTTCCACTCTGGTTTTCCACTCTGCAACATAGATGTAGCCTCTTTTTAAGATGTGGAAATTGTTGACTGTTACTCTGAAAAAGTGGAGCTTGATCTCTCTGAAGCTGTATGCATTGAGCTATTGGATGAACTCATTCATGATGTTCTGCTCTTAGACTGACAGGCTGGAGAGTGTGGTGGCCATTCCTCTAAAGAGAATGGCTCTAGGTTCTAAGTTGTGGAGTTGTATATAAATCTCCTCCTGACTCAGGAGTATATAGGAGATTGGCCAAATGGCATTGTAAATGACAGTCACTTGCTGCTGAATATTCCACTCTTCCAACTCTCTTCTTCATCACTCTTATTCCTTTGAAGCCTAAACAATATTGTAAATAATAAATCCAGTTACTGAAAATGTGAGACATATGCCTGTGAATATAAGAGCAATATAGTTTTCTTTTGATATATTCATAAGAGTTGTCTTAAGCTGAAGGCCTTTGGATCAGAGCATGAAAAGTCTTGAGCTAAATGTCAGATGACAACCAAATAATTACAAATGCACTGCACTGCAACTATCAGAGTTCAACACTAACTGAAGGTAAAGCAAGTAAATGATGATGAGAAGGTATAAGATGATGATGAGGGGGATGAGATATAAGGGTTGGTAGACTATAACTGCCAGTGTTGGTACTGGAGTGGTAGTTGCACTAAATAGCCAAAGAGTTTAGTTGGTATATTAACTTTAGCTCAAGACTAAAGTACACTGCTGTATAATACTGTTCAAAAAACCCTTTATTCTACAGGTGACTATTGTCTTGTCATCATGTCTATTATTTATTGTTCAGTGACAATAATCCCTCTACTGTGCAACTCAGTTGCACTGTTGTCTTTTTACAATATTATTGTTATGATAAGCTGGGCATAAATCATAGTTGGCCTTACTATTGTTGTATTGTTGCATAGTCCCATTGTGTGATCATCATACTATTACTGGCTGGTTGTCATGTGATAATAAGTCAGATACAGTGCTGTGTCATCATATATGTATCATCTATAGTTCCATGTGGCTCTAGCAAGGTTTCTCTGTGGCCAAAGACTGAGTGAGTCAGAATTTGTTGGGCTTTTCTGAGTGTTGGCTTACTAAGCATCAGCAGGTCACAATTAGAGGCTAAAATCATGACAAAGGGTGGGATACATAATCTAAAGTAAAATGAACAATGTAGTTAGAACTAAGGGAATGAATGAGTAAAGTATCTATAGTATATGAATTAAGTGAAGCATACCTCAGTCAGTGCAGTAATAGTGAAATGACTGAGAATGCAGATGTAACTACCAGATATATATACTGTCAGATTGAAGTATAGGAGTATGGATAAACAAAAGGGTCTGTAAGAAACAGCATACAGTGATTATTGAGGAAAGAGTCAGATTATATATGTTTCATTCAATAGTATGAGCAAGAAGGAGATGCCAGCCAAGAGAGTGGATCTCAGGCCCAGATCAAGATTAAGAAAGAATCCACAGCCAAACAATAAAAAAGACACTGACAGCTATTGAGTAGAAGAGAGTATTTCCTATGAGAACTGATGCAACATATGCAGGATATGCACATGTCACATATATCAGGACACTCTGAAAGCTAAAGTAGATGCTGGAGTGGTAAAGGGCAGCCCTGATAACAGAGAAGATCCAGTGAATGCTCTCCTTTGCTGTGAACCCAAAGATAAGAAGACTCATCAGGATAAAGATACTAGCCAAGAGTCCAATCTCAAGATGAATCTCAGGCAAGACATTGACTCCTGTGGTACAGGCTTTTGTGAAGAGAGGTGCAATGTGGTATTTTAGGTAGATGACATATATGATATACTAAAAAACACTGATCAGTGATGGTAGTGATAAAAGCATGAATGTTCCAGTTTCAGTTCCAATTGGCTGTGCTTCAGGAGATCATATTTTCTATGAGGAACCATCTATGTTAGTTGATACAAAATTGTAGCAATGGAGACCTATGTTTATTGCAGGATGGCATCTGTGGCATGTAGCATCAAAAAGGCTTGGGATGTTATGTAGTGAATCATCAAAGAAGACAGACAAGCAGATCTTGTCATGTTCCATGATGAGGTCTGCTGAGTCTCTTTACAGCAATTCTCATATTCTCAAGCAACACCATAGATCACATGGAAATCATTGAAATTGCGAAATGAGATAAGAAGACTTGCACGGACGTGCCTCTAGGTATGACGACATACGGCAACATGTCCAAAACAAGGACTCAACGCAAGCTACAACTACGTAGGACTTGTACATTAAGGAGGTGGCGGTTGCCTGGCGGAACCGCCTATAGTATTGCTTTCCAAGTCCATACTGCCTACGGCAGACTCAAAGGTAGACAGCCGGCGCACTCCCTTCTTGATCGTAGGAGGTTCTTCGTCTCCAGAACCTTCTTCGATAGCTGTTTCGTCACGCGATGCACCGGCAGCCGGGGCGTGCGATGTTGGTCGACTGTCAAGGTCTTTCTCCGGAATCTACAGGTAACCACATGACGGCAAAACAAAATACAGCGGTGTAGAGTAAAGACGTACCGGCAAACGGACAATGAATGCGAGAAGTGTACAGCAAGCTGAGAAGAAGAACACGGCTTTTAGACTTGCAGAGTAGGAATCTCGAGCTTTCCTCTGCAGGTCCGGTGGTAGGTCGTGAATCAGACGCGCTGATTGTCGAATAGATTTAACCCACTATGTGAAGACATGAACACAGGAGCAAGGGAACATTCAAAGGAAAGCGGCTAACTCGTTCTGCGTCAAGGCCATCAAAGCGTTTCCGAAGTTCACCATCCAACTTTGTCTGGAAGATAGCAGAGGAAATTGCAACACCTCCTACCTGACCTGCACATGGTGTCAAAAAGAAAAGTGGCCGATATGAACTGAGTTACCTATGCCTCGGAATACTTGGCCGAAACCAGTGCCAACCGCCATGTGAGAATCTTCAATTTTCATTACTGAAAGTTCAATTAAACCACTGGAGGTTTTGGTCTTACCAGGAAGGTGGGCCAACAGGGCAACTAAAATAAAAAGATGTTGGGTGAGATAACGGTATGAAGCCTCATCGTACTTAGCATGGTTTGAAGAACAACGGCATTTCCGAATCCAAGAGGGATCTAAATGACATATGAACACACGCAAAGTGGTGAATGTCAAGCCACAAAGGACAGCCAAAGAAATCGGGAGGCACCCGTTTCGACGTACGATACTTAGCCAAGATTGGATTGGTCCAGAATCCTCTTTCATCTGTAGGATGAGCAGAGTGGCAATGAATGGGAACAAACCACAGATAAGGTTGATCATCTTGTATTTGCCTGTACGGTGCATCATCCAACCAGCGAAAACCGACCCAGCCGACATGGATACACTGTTAGGCGCCAGGTGCAACCCTGAACAACCATCAGAAAGAGCAACATGAGAAAAAATTGTTACGTACCAGCAACGGATGCGCTTGTAAGAAGGACCGTCTGGAACCACATTGGGAAGAAAAACGTAACAGAAAAATTACATAGCGCGACAAGGAAATTTGAACATCCCACGAGCACCGGTATGCGTTGCTTCAATAAAAATGGTGCCAGGACAGGTTCTCGCGCCACTCGAAGTTCGACGAATATGAAGGCAATGAAGAACGTGATTGACAGGATCAATGGAATAAGGACCGTCGGGTGGGACCACTGGATTTCAACAATGAAAGGGAATCTCCGTACATGCATATTTCACTCACAGGTAAAATCACGTTATAGCGGGTACTGAGAAAGAAAAGACAGCTGCCCACGGAGATGAGCAACGCCAGACTGCCTGCATAATCGATGCGCTTTAGAATATCCTTAGTGCTCTTCCCTCTACCCTGAAAAAAAATGAGCAAACTTTCCGGTCCCACACAGGCGGACATGCATACCGAGGTCACGTAGCGAAGGTTATGCGATGTCAGGACGAAGGAGAGAGCGAACAGAGGGATTTGTATCAGGAAGGCCCAACGCCAACCAAGCCTGAAACCATAAGCCTATGAGACATCTATCGTCGCGGAAACATACCAATCCGTTACAAGCCCGCCTATGGGACCGCCCAACCCCATTCCCAGCTGGAAAAATCCCAACTTTCTAGCAGTACTTCAGAGGATGGAAGAGACTTACACCGCTGAAAACACTCGCAACTCCTTGGGTTAAGCCTCTTGACTGGATAACTGTCAGCGATATAGATGAAACCAAGTCCTCAAAACCCACTCGTAGCGTGTACATGTCGCTGATGACAATTCTAGGACAAAGATTATCAGGTCAACCCTGAAGGAAGTTACATTTTACTTACGTCGATGTCGTGAAAATACCACCACCCCCCATGCCTGATATCTGGGTATCTGTCAATACAAATCTATGAGGGGCCATCAGGAAGACTTACAAATCGAGCGAGAATTAGGGTCTCCATGTTGGTTGACAGACCACATGCAAGCGTCCCCAGGCCGGCGAAAAGCACCGCCGTCTGATTCGCCCCCCTTCGACCCATGACATTGCAAAGACGCCCGTAGAGCGGAGTGAATGTGCATGTGGCAAGTAGATACCTGTGAAGCAAGCGTTCGAGCAAACGAACAGGAGATATTGAAAGTACTAACGATGTCCCGAGCCAACTAGCTTGATGTGATTTGTGAAAATTAGAAGAGATAGATGGAAGCACTAACGGAAATGTTAGTCCTCCACGTCAGAATCGATGTCCAGGACCGACTGTACACTCACTTGTAGGGACTAGGGTCACTATATAGAACATGTTTTGAATCATTGACTCGACAAGGGCAAACTTTCACGTACTATTGACAGACTTTGAAAGGGTATAATTAATGAGCCATTTTATTGGAGAATAAGCACGAAACTTACCGACAGAAACGTGGCAGTCCATATTCCAGCCAAGATACCGTACCGCGTCGAAGGGGATATTTCGAGAGGGCCTAATGGGTGCTTCTCTTCAGAAGTCTTATCGACATCTTTTGGGAGTAAGGGATCTCGTTCAGTAAGCTCCGTAGTCATCAAGTGGTCGTCGTAAAGTGAAGAGTATGGAGAAGGGTAAAATCGGTGCCAAGCTTCGGCCGCTCAGGACCGGGGATTTTCATGTCGGAGTTTAAAAGAACGATCACATGATCCGAAAGCAGCTAATTTTAGCAGCTATCATTAATACTAATTGAAGTTTACAATTGGCATTTCTAAATTTGCAAAATTAACCGTGGCGTCGGCAGGCAGGCAGGATCAGTCGAGAGGGCCGACTCGGAATTGTCGAGACCGCGAACAGCGGACATGGACCTTCGTAAAACTGCATCGCAGAATTCACAAGCTCCGTACCTTACCCAAATCTAACCACGCGCTGTTGTTTGTACTTACGTTTGATGATTTGAGTTCATGGACAGGACTTCGTGGCGAAGAATCTCGATTTTAGTGCGCATCATTTACGTGATTCAAGTTCAAGATGTCGTCGCCATCACTCAATTGCAAAAAGTATTTGACAAATGACATAGAGAACGAACGGCCGAAGCTTTGATAGATGAACGCGATTGTGGGGTCAGTGGCTATCAGACTGATACCGTGCGGCAGCCACGAAAGGGAGTCCGCGATAACTTATGTAGCCTGCAGACGATCCAGTCTCCAAAAGCTAAACTGCTGTCATTTCAAGATTCCTTTAAGCTGATGTTCCGTACACCGGTTACTTACGTTGCTCGACCCCGCTCAGACCTGTGCAGTGTAGTGTGTGAACCGCGGTATCCAGGCTAAATTCCGTAACATTATTTAACGTTCCTCTGAGTGACGATTCGCCCTCTTTAATGAGGCTCCCTGGATACTCGTGTAAGCCATTGATATAATGGACATGATAAGCGATTAGTTGGTCTATAAAAAGATAATGAAGCGGAAATTCCCTTCGCATGCTTTATCATGCCCAAAAACTAAGTACCCACTAGCACCACCGACCAATGCGCACTCCGCGGAAAGCAATTAAAAGTGAGACCAGTGGGTCAACTCAGTCCAATCAGAGGCACTGTATGTCTAGGACAGCGACTGAATCTGATCCGTTCGATTGCTGCCGATCAGGTACAATCTCCGGGATCAAAACTCCTCAAGCGCCTGTGTGGACAATATGTCGCCTTCACCTTTACTACAAGCTTAAGAGACAAGGGCTCAAGGATGTCGTAACTATTTATCTACTCTACAAACCAGTACGTATTAAGCTCCTGTAAATATCTAGGCCCAGCAGGTTCTTTTGGTAAGTGCACTCTATCGTGGGGTCTGAGTAAGTAGGTCTATCTAAATCCATGCTAATTAATGAAACCTTCTTTAGTGACGGCATTGATATTGCATAGCCTGGCAGGTTGGGCAATACCCGTCGATGTTGGGGACTATGAATACGGATGTTAGCGCATAAGAACAAAAGAGTCGTAGAAGATGCCGTACGATATTGTTCTGGAAATCGGCGGCTGTAATATAGCGGTCGGCATGAAGAATTGTAGAGATATAGGAAGGACGTACTACTGCCAGCAAGTCTGCTGGCAAGAAGGCGGCTTGCAGCTCGCCGGGTGGAATGGACTGAACTTGCAGTTGGATTCCTCGCAAGGAACCTAGAAAGCAGCGAAAAATGAGCCTTGAGGAGGTTGGTGAATTAATCTTCGTACAATTTCTTCCGGCTGAAACAAGAGTGGTCAGTGTGGGGTGACGTTGGGAAAAGAAGGACGTACAAGATTCACAGCATGGCCGCATCGGAGGTAGACGTTTCTCACTCTGAGAAAGCGGTATGAGAAGCAGGAATGTAGTAACATTGACAGGTTACTTACTGACGACGGCGACACATGATTTCTGAGAGTTTTGGAAGAGAAGATGAGGGTGTAGGTGTGAGATTAAGAAGGAACGATGAAGATGGGACATCCCAGAGATGTTTCTCTCTTTTTATACGATACTCAGTGATCCAATGATCCATGGGCGGTCGTACAAAGCACCTGAGACCGTAAAGTCGGTCATCGCCCGCTAGCCACATCAGGTAACTGAGGAAAGGCGCCGACAGAAGTAAAAAAGAAAAACAGGCAAGGAGGCGCTGCAATCATCACGGGAAGCGCTATATTCATCGTACCTTATCTCTTAGTGAACCATCCTCTTACAGGTCGATGCGTAGCCAAAAGTTTGACCAGTGTCCTTAAGCGAAACGTCGTCGTTAGCTACTGCAAACGAAGACATATAAAACACGGTGATACCCTGCAGCTGTGCCAAAGGTCATCATGATTCCGTTGATGTGTGTATCGTATTTTTTTCGAGTCAGTTGGGGCCGATCAGATGCATTAGGGAATGAATAACCACGTCGACGTGGCGATCACTATGATCAGATCTATTCAGTGTAGGCAACAATGTTCCATACTGCAACACGTTATGATCACTCCCCAAGTAAAAAACACCTGTCTCACTAACAAAGGACAAAGTCATCGTCGAGAAGGGTCGATGAGAACTCGGAGGGTCAAAACCCGGGCGTTTACCCAGATCAACAGCGCCTCTTGCCTGATAGAAGAAACCAGGGTATAGTTTACAAGAAACATTTTAATTGGAGAAAAAAGAACTCGAGCAGGAAGTTGAAGGCTCTCGAGATAACCCAAAAAACCCCGGAATCATGGGACCGTTGATGATGTGAAATCAAGTAGGAGAACGCGAGTTGGGTCTGTAAACCGAAAAAGACGGACAATCAAGAGCTCTTGCTAGGAAGATCTAAGGAGTTCAAGGACGGTGATGCATGTCCCAGCCCGCGTCCCCCGAAACCTGTACGGAGTCCTTCCTACGCGTCCCAGTGATGGGAATAGATGTATATGATTAATGCAGGAACGCAGTATCATTAGAATATCACTCCAGGCTCTTGCTCGAGAGGCCGCGCAGGTGTCAATGAACCTTGATATGCAGGAAAAAACAAGAACAGCGCCAGCGCCAGCTTGATATAGAATAGATCCCACAACGTACTTATCAGACACCTGGCCGACATGTAATGGGAGTGCCTGTATCCCATGGCGTCCTTATAATGTAACGATGATGAATGCCGGGCGCTTAAAACCGGACAGAGGACAGATTTGGGTCAGGGTTTAGTAAAAAAAAGAGTTGAATGTCGACCAAATGTCGACGGCAGACTTTCTGGGTTCCAAATAATAGATCAGTCCTCTATGTGGCTTTTACGCACATATATTCCATGCCATTTGGTCGGATATTAGTTGTCACCAGAACTTCAAGAGAAGCATTAAACAGAAAATAGAGGATGGTTGAAGCGCAGAGAGGCCGGCTATCAAAAGCACTTCGATCGAGCTGACTAAGCTGTACATTCCTTCTCTGCTCACTAACACCGAAACTCTCACAACGCCGTCACGCCGTTCTACAGTGTGTCCATGGCAGCTGCATCTGGAACGGCAGGGAAAAAAGGGAAGGGTAAAATGCCTAAGCGATTTCTAGAGTCACAGGTCCGAAATACCCGTATCCAGTTCACAATTTTTTATTGGTTGATGCTTTTTTTCCGCACAGGATACCCTTGAGCTTGCACTATCCATCGCGGAACTGCAGGAATCCAAATCTAAGAGCAAATTTAGCCGGCGCCATACACAGGTACGTTGACGCTGAAATTTGACCCGAGGGTACGTATTGATCATCACACAGCTTGTGCGCCCCGAAAGTACAAGGACTGAGAAGAAGTCATCCAAAAGTAAACTTGTGCGCTCGGAAATTTTCCTATTGTTTCTCCCTGATGATCAGTCGAGGGTGCAGAAAGAGAAGAAGGCCATCTTGGCAGCAGAGCGCGCGAAGCACAAGAAAGAGAAGGCAAAGTACCGGAAACAAATAGCATCACAAACATGCACAGGAAGCACAACAATCAGTAACGACCAGAAAGAACAACCATCCACGGATCGCTCAATGCCTCGGAAACGTGTTTCATTCGCATAGATATAGGTAAGCAGCTCTAATACTGGTCTAATATGCTTTCTGACTGCGCTTTCATCATCGTAGCTGCGAGGGACGCTGTGTTTCCAGCTCTGCTGTAACTGTGTCTAGGTGACTGACGCGCAGCGACCATTTAATGATTCTGACCGCAATATAGAGCACATATTGTAGGTGATGGGACCAGTTAATGGTCAGATTAAACTGGTGAGGTTTCAATGATGTTAGTTTATCGATGCTAATTGATTTCTTAGGAGTCCCAAGCTGCATGTACATCTAGAGAGTCCAACATTAGGCAGTCCTCATCATAAGTCAAGACAGCGATGCTGAAGGCCGTTCAGTTCAGTAAACCAACGTCCGGCAGTGTTATCTCTCAGATCTCAGAGCTGGCACTCTTCTGTATGAAACATGTTTTTTGTGAATTTGATATATTCTCGGCATACTGTAATTGTTGAAAGTCCGAAATGAAGGGAATCGTAATCCAGAGTTATTTTGCAAATTCCTTGACCAAGAGTGGCGCCGAGATGTATGAGCGATGCGGAATTGCTGCAAAGGGCCATCATTGATACAGGAAGTGTTACAGACACGTTAATTACGGGAGCTTTGGGACTGCACCAGATTACAGTCGACTCTCTCTCATAACCCATAGTCGTCGGTGGACCCTCAGAGCTGTGGGTTACGAGAGAGTACGGAGTTGGAGAGAGGACATTGTAGGTCAACTTCGAGGCCCTTGTAGGGCTTATATTCTGTTAATAGGCCTATAATATAACATACTTGCTATTTAGAAGTGAAGTAGCTTGTAATCTGGCTGTCCTGAAGTGAATTAGCCTCATCAAGTCTTGTTTCTTGTCTGAACAAAGCCAAGATGCTTTCCAAGTTCCAAGAAAATGGATCATCTATGATCTTGATGTACTTTGGAAGGGTTCTGACAGCTGCAGGGATGCAAACTTGCCATGCTGCTCACTGGTCACAGTAGGTGCTCCTTTCCTTTTTTTGGCTTGTGCTTTCCCACCATCACTGTGATGCTCCACATGCCTTTCCGGTGCTGCATGATAAAGAATCAATATATGCTGTTCAACAGTTAGAGCATGGCTTACTGGAGATGGCTTTTAAATTTTTTGATTTGACTCTCAAGTCAGTCATATGCATGCCTCAGTTTCACCTTTGCAGGTTTGGAGGGCTTTTTTCAATTCATGAATGATTGGAAATGTCATACTAGGACTTCTAGTGCAATGGAAAGGGCAGTAGAGGCAGTTGATAATGGCACATGAGAGTTTTTATATTTCTCTGACAGCAGCTCCAACATAGCAACCATCCAGCTCCCTTAAATTGACATTGCTAGATGCTACTGTCAGCACAATGACTAAGTATCTATGGGATACCAGAGAGGAGATTCTCAGGAAAAGCTATAAGGTATAGAGTATGGGTTTATGGCATCAGTGTTGGAATTTAGGTGCTGGTGATTCAGAGGAAGGCATATTAGACTCAAAGGAAGAGTATATTTTGTCATATAGAGTAAGGACAGTGGTGGTTCTGAGTCAAGTCAATAAGGTACAAAAATGTCAAAGTATAAGATAAGCAGTAAAATATATATAAATAGAATATGATATTAAAGCTGTGAAAACTGAATCTCAACAATCAATTTCCCTGTGAACAAGGTTGGTGGATCCAAAAATCTATGGGGGAGTATGGGTTATAAGAGAGTCAACTGTACTGCTACTGCCGTAACATTTAGACTCAACTGAATAATCTGGCGATCAAAATTCTGCTATTTGGCCGTGCTTTATCGGGAAGCCTTTGCATTACGTGATCCATTCGAACTTAGCGCGCCTTTGTACCATACTATACTCGAATTCATTCTAATACGACGTAATGACTGCGAAGCCTTTCAAGCCATCCAAGACACCCTATACACCAGTATTCTATTCTAGCCCTTTTTCTTCCTCAATGTCGTCGTCTGTGGCATCTGGGCACCGCTCACCGTCAATATATCTGGACCAACTATCTCAATATCATTTAGCGCTAGCTGGATTGGAAGAAATTCCAGCGTCGGATTGTGGCACTGACTTTGACGATGATGCCCAGCATCGTGTGCGCGCACTGCGCGACCGCGTTATCGAAGCTCTTGAATACAGCAATGGAGATCCCGCGGATGGCAAATGGTCTCGCTTGAAGGACCTGCTCCGACTTCGTTCCACCACCGCCGGCAAGCGGTGGATTGGCGTTCGCGCTGACGGATTGGAGGCGAGCCCTGGACCCGGCGGATTCCTTTTGGTGGACACCGAAGAGCAGTGGTTCGAATGGGAGAAACGGAGAGAAGCAGAGAAAATGTTGAAGAGCAAAGTGGAGAACTGGCAGAAAGATGTTATCGTTCATGCTGATCCTACTTTGGACGACATGGAGCCACTACCAGGCAGGGAGAAATCCAGGAGCAAGTCAAAAGAAAACGCAGAGGTCGATGTTCCTGCAGCCAAGTCCAACTCAAAGGGCGCAAGCAAGACCGACTCTTCTGCTACCAATGCCCCCAAAAGTGGTGATATTAAGGACCCGTCTCCATTGGGATTCAATGTTTCGAAGCGTAGAGGTGCCACGAAAAAGAGGCCGTCTGCAGCACCGAAAGACAAATCAGACGACATATACGCGCCTGGCAATGGAGACGTCAGCATGGTTTCTGCAGCTAAAATAAACATCAGTGATGTTTCCGAGACGGTCAGTAGTGATTTATAGTTGCTAAAGCCACAACTAAGTCGAGGTAACAGGCTTTTTTCCCACCTTCGTTTCCTACGGGACTGGAGACGTCTACTCCGCCGGACCTTGTACGCAAGAAACCTCCCCCAATTATCCTTGTTCCATCGTCTTCCCCATCGTCATCTCCGAATACGAAACCCCCACCCTTGTCTACAGATATCTCAACTTCTCCAGAACGGAGTGGTACCCACCGCCGCCAAGCATCATCTCCAATTCCAGGGCTAACCCTGCTTAGACAACATTCCACGACGCCTGATAGGCCTTCGAAGCGTATGCGGGCAGAACCGCCGTCTTCAGGCTCTAGCAATATCACACCTCAGCTGGAGGCTTCCCCATTGGCTGATCTAGTTGCCAGGAAGCATCAAACGGCAACTCCGACGACGCCTCAGGCCAAGCCCCTACCGACCCTATCAGAGCTTCTCGCCTCAGCTAAAAAGACACCAAAGGGCAGAGGTCGCGTTTTTTCCAAACCACGGTCGCCCGTCAAGGCTCCCGTACCAATTGTACCGGAGGAGCCTGTGAATGTAGACCCAGACCCAGACCCGGACCTGTACCTGGACATGGAAGTCGACCTCGCATCACCTGCCAAGTCGTTATCATCTATTGCTGACGAGGATTCTGATGGTGGTGAGGACGGCGTTGGTGGCGCCCTTCCTGACTTTACATACGATGCTGGGGCGTTTAAACCACCTTTTGCATCTACACAGCTCCAGGGCTCGCAATTGGGATATAATTCCCAGGTGGACGTGGAGCGAAATGTCAATGAGCTGGATAAATTTCTGGCCAGAGATGTCGATATGAGTGGAGATGAAGACGACGATGTTTTCAGGCGTAGGGATGGAGACGTAGATTATGCTACATGGCTGAAACCTGAAGTTCTGGCTAGTGCTAGCAGCGAAAAGAGCTCTTAAGAGGTGCACCAGGGCGTTGTTGCCTATTTAATCTTTTTCTTGTATCATCACCCTGTTCAATGCTACGCAACAGCCGTCAAAATACTGATTAACAATGTATGTACATAAATATGTGCACCAAGAAGGAGGTCGTGATAAAAAAGTGTAGTACCATAGTGATAATATTATATTACAGCCCAATATGCATGGTCATATTCACTTGAGTGGCTCGTATTTACCATATAAAGAACGCCTTTGGGGGTGTGTCCCAGGGTATCAAACCACGAGACTATGTCGTCGGGTCTCCTCATCGTGCAAACCGGCTCTCCTTGCTCCCTGTCGTCGCTTTCCATCATTGACCCATCCGTTTACCAGCCCTTTGGCTGGTATATACTCTGCATCCGCATCAGCGCCGTCATCGTCCTCATCATCAAGCACAGGTGGTGGTCTCGACCGTTTTCTCTGCCCTACCTTCGATGACGGCCGTGAGGGTGGAAGAGGCAACTGGGCAGGGTCAATCGCTGTCCCATTGGCACAAGGATGCTCAACCGACGACCGGGCCTCAGTGTCATTGTCCGCATCGTGTACAGTGTCGTCCACAACGATCTTGTACGTAGGCGTGGCCAGTGCCGCAGACGCCGACGCACGCTTTTTCGGTGCTGAATTACCCGTTGCAGGGTCAGGTTTCCGCATTTTCCTGCGGCTTTTGTCAGGCGAGGGAGAAAAGTTATCAAATAGTGGATACAACGCACGTGTTTAGCTTGGGTTCAGCATAATTGACACTTTTTCTGACCCGACGCTCGCGTCCACCGGTGTCAGATTCGGGTTCTGGGGGGGGTGTGGGACTCGAGGGATGGGGAGTCAGAAGATGGGAGGTGTGCGATGGGGAAGATACCAAAAATTGGCGAGGAGCCCCAGAGTCTCCTGGAACATTGTCGACTGCAGTAAAATATTAGACTTATGATATGCAGTAGGCCAGAGATTACACACCAGAACTATCAGTCTCAGGAAGAGTTGCACGCCGCCTCGGCGAGTTCGTTACGTCCTTGAATTTGAGTTTTTGAGACGCCGATACCAGGTCGCCGTCTTCATCTTGAAGAGACTTTATCTCCTTATCGCATGGGGTATCGGCTACGTCGTCCTTGTCCTTATATTTGCGTCGTTTCTCCTTCTTGACTTTAGCAGACCCCACATCCTCCTCGTCCACGTTTTCGACCAAGCCATTGTAGACAGCCGCTTCCTCCTCTTCTTCTTCTTCGCACGCCTCATTCTCCGCTTGCGTCATTCCCAGGATAGGAGTTACTGGTCGCTGGATGGACAGCTGGTCCCTATGGACCATGTCAACATTGACTGTTAGCAGACCACTCTGACGTCGTGCAGCTTTCTTCCGTAAAGTATTCATATTCGTGGAAGAAAGATCAAGCATTGGCGGCGGAGACGCTATCCGAGATGGCAGCGGTAGTTTCGACGCCGATAACCGTGGTTTTGTCTTGACTTTACGGCGAGGACTGGGTGGTTTCTCGACTTCAATCTGCTCTTCTTCCGAGGTTGGACTTGGCTCCTCCTCTTCGCAGATTCCTGGTACATCCGGGGGCTTGGACAGACGGTTCGTTGGCGACGGTGAGGACGAGGACGTGGTTGATGATGGGCGTCGTGTGGCTCTCGGTAGTAACGGCGTGCGAGATACTGAAGGCTGCTGTATGTCAAACGTATGCCTTAGGAAACTAAGATGCTTGGTGAGACCGAGCGCCTGGGAATCTATCAGATACCGTCGTCAATACCGACGACTCGGCAAGCGTACCGCTATCTCCACCTCAGCCATCACCTTTCCCGACTTTTGTCGTTCTCGCTTCAGTTCCGTTGAAAGGGCAATTTCCGAGGCCCGGAGTCGTAAGTTTTCGTTATATAGCGTCGATATCTGGGCGTTCAGTTCTTCTATTCGAACGCTCATCGTTGAATTGAGTCTGTGTCAGGGAATATCAGAAAACCGGCCACGATAAGATAAATTGCAGCGCCCACTTAGTTATCTGCTTGTTCGCCTGCAGAAACTTCTTCTTGACTGTCGTGCCACCCACAATCAGTTATCTCGCCGAGAAAATGCAGAGGCAATATGGTAACACACAGTTCTCGAACTCGAAAAGGGCATCATTCTGCCGCGCCCCCGTAGATGCACGAGATTCCCTCCTGCTCATCGTTGCCGGTGACGACGACCGCTCCTTGGAAACACAATTGGAAAACAAAAAGTGGGAATGGCCCACGTCCGTGGTCAACACGCGTTGATGGAGAACAGGATCACGTGCACGTCATCCCCGTTTGGTTTGTCTTGTTCCCACCGACGGTCCGATATCCGGCCAAGATCTGTAGGCGTGAGTAGGTCCATCACACCCCAACCGCACAAAACCTTACAGACACAATAATATCATATTATTGATCATCTCCGCATTACAGAATATCAGCAGGTTATTCAGTTCTCTAAAATTAAGACACACATATGTTTTCATTCTCCAAGACGGTTCCACCCGGCCATGAAACGGCAGGCTTCCAACCGAGGCGAGAGCCATGAGCCGGTACTCCCAGATCGAAAAGCTAACTACCGGTAGCGGTAAGATCGCAATGATAGCCGGACGGCCCGTGTACCGTTCCTCCTGAAAAAATTTTGAAGCCCTTGGTATTTTATGCATCGTCACATAGACCGTCATCTCTGATAGAACTCTTACAAGCTGTTGGCTTACTCGCAGATATTGGGTCGCCCTGTGTATAACTTCGACCTGGCAGGTTTATATCCTCTCCATTGGGTAAATGCTCGACCGGACTTCAATGCTTGTTTTCATACTTCCAATAGTTTTTGCCAGCGGCGTAATTATACAATCATACGAACATGACATCCAAGTTGACAAGGGAAATCGTATAAATCGACCTCCAAGAATTTGAAATGCAATGAGAGCGGTATGTTTACTTTGAATCCAGAAGTGAACTCAGAAGAAGGCCTATTGCTTTGTCATTCAAAGAAATGTTCAACAACGGAATGGCACCATACCGCAGCGTTTGGGGGACTCGCACACCCGCCAATACTTATGATGGATGTTCAGAACGTTGCTACACTATCGAAAGCGTGAGTACACTCACATGTTCAGGGGCCACGACGAAAAGAAGAACGTATAGCGTCCTGTCGTACTGCATATCTCTGAAAGTCTTTCCAAGTCGAACATTTCACCTAGCGTGGTTGTCAATTCGATTTCGCACTTAGAACAGCTATGTTGGCATACCTATCGGCATACCCCAAAGGCTAGAAAAAGCCAGGATGTCAATGAGATACGATAAGTGTAATAATCTCAAATTCTTACGCCAACAATGTCTGGAAACTAGTGTGAGACAAGCATGGCATGCGACAATCAAAAAGAAATCAACCAACTTGATGCATATGGGGTATTCCTTCGGGTGTAGGCCAGCGCTGGATAAAATGCAGGTTGTTTTGATGTTAGACACCGCATGGTTTCTGACGCACCTCAAGAGCAGGTTGGTCAGACGCTACGGCCGCGAAATGATTGTTCCTAATAGTATAATCCTGTGAGTCCACTACCAGCCTCCGGCCACAACATCACATCGCGGAGTTGCCATACCAGAGGAACCGCTTCATGTCATCCGACTGCTCAATTCCGGCACTATCGGGTTTGAACTCAGCCCATCAGCAAAGGCAGAGAGAAAAAGGGGCTCACAAAGTCTCCGGCTTAGTCGCCAGCGCATCTCTCTCTTCCTGTGTCACCTCGCTGAACTTCTTTATGAATCCCACGTGAAGGATTAAAATATCCCCCGTTCTAAATTTGACCCCTTGCTTAGCTGCGCATGCTTCAAGCTCTTTAACTGTGATCGGGTGGCTTGCCCAGGGATCGTAAGGCAGTGTGTTTCCTCCCGACGTGTAATATCTGACTAAGTCCAACAAGACGCCTCGTCCGCATATGCCGTGATTCGCCCAGTCTACGCACCAGGCGCTCATCAGATTTACTCGTGGTATTAATTAACGGCCCTACTTTGAATACCGAGGTGCTTGTAACTCGGGTTGATATTGTTAGGGTCAGGGACGCAGATACTGCCACCGGGAATTGAGTTTCTGTGAGTACTACAAGGGAGAAATGGCATAGGCGTTGAATATACTCAAGTAATGCTGAGAAAAGGACGCAACTTGTTATAAAAGATATCATGATCGATCAGTCCAAAATGCCTCATTCCATCCCATTGGGTACCGGATTGTGAGTTCTGTTGGAATATTATTACCATCGAGTCCCTAAACTGTGTCTATACACATACGATATGAATTTCGTCATCTCGTGTAGCACGATCGAAGTTATCTATCACAAGCAATTCAGGACTCCTACGGTGGAACATCGGCTGCGAAAAAGTAAACATGGATACTGAAAGATTCGGAGCGTACATATTCCTACCTACCTTGCTGGGGAAATTCAACGGCCTGGCACGTCTATTGAACATCTTTATCGTTGGCGTTGAAGGACACTGACATACCAATTTAACGAGACCGTCTGGCCTGTCCTGTGTGCTAGAATTAGCAAAGTATACTCTCGTCACTGCCTTTAGACACAAGCTCACTTAATCTCTTCAGAGGCAGCTGTTTTGACCACCTCTGCCGTCAACAGATTGATAGTTCCCAGCTGGTCATCGGGACCCCAAACCTGCCATGCACATCCTTTGTGATCCTTGAACATGGGCAGTTCATCGAATGTCGGTAGCGCCTCATGACTTGCTGTATTCATCTCTCGGGGAGCAACGTACGTCAGGATCTGTTGAAGACGGTTATTGGGGGATGGATTGGTCATCGTAGTTGAGGTGTTTCGGAGGAAGTGAACAAGAAGACATAGCCCTCCTACATTAGCACTATCTATCCGCAGCATCAAGTCTGATCCCTCAGCTGACAACATTCATGGCATCTGACCGCTAGGTGGGAATGGGGCTAGGTAATATGACTTCGCACGGATCCTTGTGACTTACAAAACCTGACTCAGACCCAGAAATGAGGAAACGAATACACAATGGCGGCCGATCTTAAAGCCGCTTCTCATCGAATAACTTATCGTGCGAGACAGTATAACCATGTCGACTAGTCAGCTTATAGGGAATGTCTTCCATGTCTCCGAAGGCAGACAAAACAACATGACATGGCGCGTACTTAAGTGTCGGGAACCGCTCTTTGCTATATGATTAAACCTTGCCACTGCAAGTCTCTCAGACCTAGAACATTGCCTGGCATGTGGTCGTCAGTAAAGTAAACCAATAAGTGGTGAAATGAATACTTACGGCGGCGTTGGGAGGCGCCGCGCAGCCGCCGATGCTGTTGATAGGGCAACTTTAGTTCTCAGATGAAACCCCATAATCATGTTACGTACATCGGAAGAGGCCACGACGAGAAGAAGAAAGTGTATCGACTCGTTTTCTTGCAGACTTGTGACAACTTCTCGAGGTCAAACATTTCACCTTGATTAGAATAAACAATGAGCGACACAGACGTGGGTTTCTGTCTGTACTTACCAATGGGCATACCCCACAAACTTTACAAAGATGAGTCCGATAGAATGACTATGCAGCTTTGGAAGCTTACCCCAAGATCGTCTAGAAAGATGTTCTAAAAATCCACAGAAGCTCTGATAGTGCAGCGACGTACCTGGTGAATATGAGGCACACCTGCCGGTGGTGGCCAGCGCTACGTTGGTCCACGTAAATTACTGGATAGTTACCGTGTAAATTATACGGACCTCTAAGGCAGGTTGATCAGAGACGATAGCGGAGAAGTGATTGTCCCTTGTTCATCAGCCGTGAGCTTCCTGGAACATCTCCTACAGAAACACCTGTGTCCTACCACAGGAAACGCTTCATATCGTCCGACTGGTCGATACCGGCCCTGTCAGAAATCAATCAGGCCTTGACAGAGCACAGCATCAAAAAAAAAACGGCTTACAGTGTCTCTTCGTCCCTGCTTCCCACAGCATCCTTCTCCTCCTGCGACGACTCGTTGTAACGTTTGATGTGACCTACACGGATGAGTAAAATATCTCCTGCTCTGAACTTTACGCCCTGCTTCGCAGCACACGCCTCAAGTTCAGGCACCGTGATCGCATAAGTGGTCCAGGGATCGTACGGCAGAGGATCTCCAGAAGAGATGTAGAAATCGACGAGGTCGAGGAACACACCGCGACCACAAATTCCGTGGTCTGCCCAGTCTGGGGTGGGATTTTATGGTCACAGGCGTACCAGACGGAGGATAGCCTTGACGCACTTTGGATCCCTAGTCTGGACAATCGGGGGTCTATATTCGTAGGATCAGGAATAGGAACCTTGCCACTTAGGAGCATATCCTTAGGAGTGCTGACATAGAAGCTCGTTAAAAGGCGGCGACGCGTAAGGGAAAAGAAAACGGCATACTTGTTATAGAAGACATTGTGGGCCACGACGCCCAAGTGGGTCATTCCATCCCACTGCGAACCCGATTGCGTGTCCTGTCGACGTTGTGTGACTTGGTGTGCACACCATATATAGAAGATTCCTTGCACGAACCATTTCTATCTCATCTTCCCGGTGGGCGTATCCTCTCTCATCAGGAATCATGTAGATTTGCGCAGCTTTACGTTTGAATAATGGCTACAAGAGTGATCAATCCACTTGGCTAGCACGAGCGGAATATAGCCCATGCATACCTTCTCCGGAAAGTTGATTGGCCTAAATTTCATTAGAAGTGCACAAAGGAAGTAATCACAGGAAGCACCCACCAATTCAACGATACACTTTGGCCTGTTCTGATTCATGGATCCAGATAAGCATAATATGACGAAAGGATAACGATAAGCTCCTACATGATCTCTTCCCTGGCGGCTTGCTTGACAACATCATCGGTCAGCAAGTTGATAGTCCCAAGCTGGTCGTCCTCTCCCCATAATCCCCATGCACAACCCTTGAAGCTGTGGAAATGGGGAAGCTCGTCAAACGACGGCAATGGCCTTCCATCACTGGTCTTCGGCACGAGTCCGCAGGAAGTCATGACACTGCAACGTATACTGATGATTTTCGCTTGGTTTATATACCTGTTGCCGTGCCTTGACAGCCATGGGTTACAAACAAGACTACAGCCGGAGAGACGGGTACATGACGTGCACCGTTGATAACAGCGGTGATGTCAGCCAAGTCTGCCCGGTCGAAACCAAGACGCTGTTCTTTAACGGCTGCTGTCAAATCAGATGCGATAACGGCTATAAGTACAACATATGTATAAGTGCCATGTAGGAAGGACTCGCCCACTTCATGTATATGGAGTCCGACTATCTATCCTCGGATGAATGGGTGGGTTAAAGCTTCTCGAGGGGTGATCCTCCGCGAAGGATCCAATACTAAACACTTGTCAAGAAGATCAATGAAAGACACAAGTAGCTTGCTCTCGTCATCCTTCATTTTGACCGATGCTGGCGGCATGAGACGGGCGCGAAGATCGCGCGTGGGTTTTGAAATGTGGACTTTGCGCACAACATCCTGAAAAGGGCAGGATCAACGTTTTGGCTTGCCAAGGGGTGTGAAATACTACTAACCGTTCCTAAAATTCGGTCACGCTCAAGACTCTCAAAGCCTCCCATGTCATCGAAATAAACATCACCGAACTTCGCCTTCTTTATCATCTTGCTGTTAAATCGACCCTTCAGTTCCATCATAAGAAGCAGCATCTGATTATTTGATCTTCCGGGGAAAAGAATTTTGCCCGTGTATAGTTCATAAAGCGTGCAGCCCATGGACCAGATATCAAGAGCCGGATCATAGGGAATCCCGAGTACTAAAAGGACACCGGTAAGTCAGTTACCAGTAGATGTAAGAGAATTGCTCAACTGATTTCCGGAGCACGGTAGAATCGGCTAACGAGATAAGGAGTAATCTCGTTCTCGGAGGCATCAGACGCAGACCCAAGGTCGCAGAGTTTCAGAACAGTTTTCGCTTCATTCACCTAGCAAGACTAAGAAAAGGCCCACGAACATGAGAGAGAGAACCTACTAGAATATTGTCCGGTTTGATATCAGCATGCATTACGCCCACCTTCTTCAATAAAGCAAGTGCTAAGAATAATTGATGGGCATACGCCCGAACAGCCCGTATATTTAGACCCACGTCCTTGCCAAATCGTTTGACAACTTCGCGTAGATTCATACTAATGGACAGATAAATGAGTAAACGAATCATTCTGGGGATGAGTTTATGTCCACCTCAGGCTTTCGAAAACGAGACAGAGATGTCCTCGGTGTTCAAATGTTCGTTCTAGTCTGACGATATGTTTCTTGTCGTCAGGATCGGCTTGCATAAGTTTGTTGAGAATTTGAACTTCCTTGAGACCAGCCTTATACCTGCACATCGTGAGCGAATGACTACCAAGGAAAAGCCATAAACGTACATGGATTCCTGACATCGAACAATCTTGATTGCGACCTCTCTTCCAGCAGCATCTCCGCCACCCTGTAGTATTCGCGCACGAACGACGTTGGCAAACATTCCTTTACCAAGAGAAGAGAATACTTGATACCGTCCCCCGTCAAGCTGTTCAGCAAGGATGACAGAATAATAACCTTCTGAGTCGGCTGCAGAATCCAGAGTAGTCGTTATTAACGCCGGCACTGTGAGATTCTATGCGAAGGTGTTTAGTAGAATGAAAAGTAGGCAATTGGAAACTGACCATCTTCTTGACTTTCTTGACTTTTTCGGACTTTTTCTCGGCCGTAGCGACAGCAAACATATCATCGACATCTTCGTCTTCATCTTCTTCGTCATCGTCCTCCTCAACCTCCATAACTTCAGCTTCGATTGGAGCAGGACCAAACACACGCCTTTGCTCGTCTTCTCTACGATCTAGACTGGGATCATAATCACCCGCAGAAACCTGTACCGCGCCATCTAGTGTGGAATTCTCGGCTTGTGTCTTGCGCTGTGACGATTCCGCTTCATCATCCTTAGCGAGCTCGAAATCATGGCCCGGAGTCGGCGATGGCGACAGAGACGTGCGCTTGTTATCTTTTGATGCATGTCAGTATGAAAAATAAACCTTCTATTAGACACCACGCACCCGCCTTGGCGCCGTTACAATGCAAGGGCACATGGCTAAAACTGCTCGTTATATGATCAGAAACGGTTGAAGAAAGAGGCGGTTGGACCGCACTACTAATCTCCGGCGCAGGAGTACCATTGACACTCGTGTTCACGCTTGAACGTGCACGGATTGCGTCCCACTTGGCTAGACGAGCCTTTCGAGCCGCGTCAGGATCGTAGACGGTTTCCGTGAGGACTGGTATATCTAGTTGCATGTCCTGCAAAGGCTCAGAAGACGGGGCTGGAACTGGTGAAGAGACTGGAACTGGGCCTGGAACGGTAGGAGGGCTGTGACGCAGTGAGATCCTGAAAATGTTGATTAGATTACTGTACACTGAACCGTAAATCTCACGATACTCACTCGCCTTCCTCCAGCTCATTGCTCTCATGCCTCTCATTTACATTGCTTCTTGGTGAGCGGGATCGATATTGTGGAGGTGAATTATCATGTCGCTGGTCCTCTCTACGGTGACTGCGATCCCTGCCGTCGTGTCGACTAGAACTTCGTCGACTATGATCAGTATCTCGTCGGCGATGCCCATTGCTACCTCTGCGGCCACTACCGTTGGACGCAGAGTGCCCAGTCGAGGTCTTTAAGTGGACATCCCTCCAATCTCTTGTATCTTCTCTTGGTTTTTTATGCTCCCGATAGCTGGAATCCCTGCCTTCCCATGAACGCTTTGATCCTGAGGACATATTAGTCATATTCGTTCAAAACAATGGTTTTTACGGGGCACCGCACGATGAGAAAGAGAAAAAAGGAAAAGGTGAAAAATAACAGTGATAGTCGGAGTTGTAGTGAACGTCTTGCCTGTGTGACTCACCCGGTCCGTGCGGTGGCGATTAGTTGTGCTATGTTTGTCATTTAGTCCCGTGACCAAGCTGAACGTATTGGAAATTTAATGGTCCTTATATTATGTCCTCGCGAAACTCATATCTCATCTGTTATTTAAATAGTGTTGGCATGACCCCTGGTAGGCAGTCAAACAAGAGGTCAACAAACATTTGTCTGACCTCTACGACCGGGGGATTGGGGTCAGTGGGGATCAAGTTATTTTTGCTCTAAACGTGCCAAAGTTGAGTCGGTATTCCGTTACCGCAACTAGAATTGTTTGTTCCTTTTCTGAGTGATGGGTATTGGTTGTCGGACGACAGTCGATCTATTTCCCGGCTTTACTGAACCCAATTATCGTTCCGATGTGTGAGGCACACCTCTACTTCATAAAATTTCTTCGCAAATATACCTCGGTTTAAAACCTTTGACCGGAGAAATCCAAAAGAATGAACAATTTACTTGACTACAGCTGTTTCTTATCGCGTTCTTTGCCCTATTGTCTGCCTATCTGACCCATTTGACCGACCGGGGGGTCGGACCCGGTCAGCATCAAATACTTGACCTGATCCAACAATTTGCAGAATAATTTCCATTCTACCATGTTCTGTATATCATGACGCTCGACCTCGATACCTTTTGCACATGCAAAAGCCAGCTCTGGGCTCTCGGTCGTGCAGCGTATCCCGAAGTTCTGCCAGCAAAAGATCCTTCCCCCCCAGTATATCGTTCCTTCTGGATAAAACTGTTGAAGAAATCCAGGTATATGCAAAACCTTCTCAGAATCCTATGAACACAGGTTTCGATGGTATCGAAATTCATGGTGCGAACGAGTATTTGCTCGAGCAGTTCACGCACAGTGGGAACATCATGAACCATGTGGGGTTTCTGGTACAAGCCATGGATGCTCTTGTGAATATCTTCGAAGGTAGGCTTCTGCTGACACATATCTGCCTATAATTCTAATGTTCATTGTAGATATGGCAATGAAGGATCCCAAGCTAACCTTCACCTGAAATAAACATATCCTAGCTGCCGATGAGAAGAACGGCTTTCAGTCGACATTTCTTCGCAAACATGAGCCCTTGGCTTCGTCTGAAGGGACTGGTTGGATCCTAATCATGTCGGTAGCCCAGACAAAAGCATAACATTTCGCTGAATCTATCTATACGACAGAGAGACCTTTTACATTACCACTAATGCTGTGAAGAGTTATACAAATTACCCACTTGCCGCAGGCGCTTAGGCAAATGCAAACGATATAAAAGTGATCTATTTCAATGCATGGATCCTTGGATCAACTAAAGAGTCCTTTAGGTTTGAAGGCCTAATCCCGGCTGGAGTGACGAAATCTTAGTCCTGATTGCACCATTTCAAATTTGGCTATGATCTCGGTGACGAAATGTGACGAAATGTGAAGGGGAAAAAGGGTTGGTTCGTACCTTGGTCTATATGGGGTTGATGATGGATGATGGGAATACCAAATGGGGCTTATTTGTGACCAAGGAAGGGGAATTACGACAGATTTACCCTTTCACACCTCGAGGCAGACACGGTGTTCCACCACTGAGGGGTGAAATTCCTACGCTCACCTTTAAGGCAATCACTCACGACCGTCAAAAGGCCAGCGCGAAAATGCATATTTCCCCAGTCCATTCGCTCCCGTCTTCGACTTGTACGAGTCTACAGTCTCTCAGAATTCGTATACACCTCTTTCCTCGCTAAAACACGCGTTCCAATGGCCCCAACTTGCACTACCACTACTCGTCGATCTCGGCCCTTGTCTAACCAAGTGCCAGTTCTGTGCGATGGTGAGTCTATCAGTAGTGACGAGTTGGTACGCTTCATTGATTCATTATATCTTATAGAACAAGGCTGGAACGCTGCCGACTTGTTGATGTACTCTGGTAGTCCAGTATCCGAAGTCTATTCACCAGCATCGTCGGTCTCTTCCCCTTCTTCGACTCAATCTGACACCCCTCCCCCTCGTCGCCACACTCCCTCGCATCGCCGTATGCCCGGACACGTACCCCGTCCCCCCAATGCCTTCATGATCTTCCGCTCCCACTACTGGCGCGACAACAAAGATACTATACCCGAACGTGACCACCGCGAGATTAGCCGGACCTGTGGTGAACTCTGGAAAGCCTTGTCGTCTGAAGAGCAGCAAATTTACCGAGACTTGGCCAACGACGCCAAGAAGGATCACCGCGCGAAGTATCCCAACTACAAATTTACGCCGGTGTCGCGACAGAAAAAGACGAGGAAGAGAGTGGATCGGTATCCTCGTATCATAGAGGGCGCCGGGTTCGAAATGTTAATTGGAGGGGGAACTAATGGGATGGAGCTGGAGAGGGCAGTGGAGATGAATGATACTATACGCGGGACCCCTTCTCCCTCAGCTATCGCCAACGAAGACCAAATCGCTATCTCGATGCTCCAGTTTTCTGCTTCTGGCTATCAAGAAGAGTTCATCTGCGGTGAGGAAGAAATTCTCGTCCCCACCTCAGGCTGCGACGTTCCATCACTCGTCCTAGACACTCCCAACCTAGAAATGGTGCGTCGATTCTTTTTCCGCTACAATAATTTTTCACTAATTCCCTACCTTTAGGCGGACCACCTCCCACAGCTCCCCAACTATGCCCGCATCGATCCTCAATTCGGAGTCAAGGCGGATGTGGATATTAGCAGCCACTTTTGGTTTGCGGCCACAGGTGAAAGCCTTGACCCGTTTCCAGCTATCATCACAGCGCCGATGGCCGACTTATTTCAGGCCTTTCCTCCCTACGACGAGCACCACGGTTCGGACATGTTTGATATCAATTCCATTGCCAGTTTTAATGATGCGACGTACATTTAACTCGACTGGCGACTTATAACTAATGCAATACCCTTCACTATATGTATAACATTTACTCTCCGAATCATGCATTTCGCAGTATTTATACACGACTTCTGAAAATGTCTCTTTTTTACTATGATAATTGTCGAAGTTTAGTACGTTTCGCTAATGATCAGATCCTCGTACATTGTATACGCTCTTTCGCAGGTATAAAACTTTCTACATAATATCAACCTAGTACTAGTAACTAATTCGGATATGAGTATCTAATTTGTCTCAGAATGAGTGTAGAAGTCGTAGCAAACCCAACTATCGAGTTCTCCGTATGATGGACGGTGTAGAATCTCTCCAGGAAAGCATAACCGCTGATGAATTCGAGGTCTTCGGGAATATCTCGTCCAAGTTCATTAACAATAAGATAGATACCACCAGTGTCGCCTCCGATAGCGAACGAGGCCAGATTTGAGCATTCGGTGTCAGCTCATAAGTTATCTACGGGCAAATTTCAATACGTATCAGATCAGAGTTAAGCAATACTAACGCTGTTGATACGAAAGTAGAGACTCGAAAGATTGGAGTATTGAGATGAGGAGATACGAAGAAGACCTGTAGCGCTGTCTATTGTTGCTCCGGCCCGGGTGGCTGACTGCCAGTGGTATTTCTCGAATGCATCAGAAGCGAGGTATACCAGGGTTGTCCCTATGTATATCTGACCGTCAAAACGTGGATAGACCATAAGTATATCATTGCATTCACCGGTGTCGACGATACCAGCAGCTGATGAGAAAATGGCAGTTGTATTATCATAGGAAATGGACTGGTCAACACACCAGTACTCGCTTGCCGGCGAAGTTGTTGTTATCGGGCATCTTGGATACGTCGATCCCGCCATAAATTGTCAATTGTCAAAATTCAGCATATCATATAAAAGCCACGAACCCTACGAAAGCTCGCCGTTGACGTTGTCGAGCTGCTGTATAGGTGCAAGGTATATACCAACCATATTGTTCATGATAGCTTTCTGACTATAGAGATTGTCGGTGACAGTAGGTATGAGTGTCGTTCTATGGAATAGATTCCCTGGAATAAGCTTCACGAGGCTCACGATGGTGACGGCCGCATTATTGATGCCTTGGTTGATTACTCCGCTCTCCCCGGAACTCCTTGCACCGTTTTCACGCGCAAATAGTGCAGCTGATCGCGTTGAAGAGCGTTCGGCATGTTATGTAAGGACTTCTCATTTATGTTACGTGGCTGTGCGATAGGCTCTACCTTTCGCATCCATCTTCCAGTTCTTCTTGCCTTTTTTTTCCTTGGGACGTACATTATGTCTAGTCTGTCTACAATAACGATTGACCTGGTATTCCTGCCTGTCAGCCTTAACAACCAGAAAGCTCATCTATTCAGGTCCTAGACCGATCAACGACGAAGGATGTCCTTCGCGCAATGCTACACTCAATATTATTCCATAGGTTATTTGGCATCGTAAAGCCGCAAACGTTTGAAGTCCTTGATGTGACGATGGTGTGCAACCTCTCGGTCCCGTCTCCTTGAAGCTCACAGTCGATTCACCAGCCGGGAGTATCAGACCCGGAAGTCGAACAGATGGTACACGAAAAGGTGGACTTGTTTTGGAAGAGCATCGAAAACGGTGGAAGTAAACGGGGCCAGGTGTGTAGTCCGCGTCTTTGATTGCTAGTGGGACTGATGTTAGCGAATTCGGAGATATTGGTAACATTTTCGGAGAAACGGCAGAAGAAGGGATGGTTCGTATACAGCGGTGGAGAGGAGGACGTTCCTTGGGAACAATGGTGCCATTCTTCCTGCGAATCCTTCTCCCCATTTGGGCTGATCGTTGTGTGAAGGGTAATCAATGCAGAAATTCGACAACCGCTTGATAGAGGTGGGGGCCCCGTTTTGCCTCCCTCTGCTCGTGTGTCCTGATTATATATATACGACAATAGACAGACTCACTTTCGACTCGACGTTAGCAGCAACACTAACGAAATCAATACAGACCATGCTCACGCATACATCATCGGAAAGAGGCCGTTCCGTTGTACCTCCCATCACACACAACGGGATATCTCCCTTTCCATTCAAACTGGCTGTCAAGATAAGCGGCATAGAAATTTTCTGACGGGGTTGCCACTCGATACGTACTGTTTATCCGTGAGTTGCGAGTTCTCTTACACATTCCGAAAGAGATGCTGATACGTACATGCCTCTAGCTCTTCCCTCTGGCCATACCGTAGAGTCCTTATAAAATGTAACAACCCGTACAACCCAACAATACGACCAACCGACGCCTGCTTGCATCCCACGCGGCATATAATAATCTTGGTACTATCTCCATGCTTTATCATTTTCGCTTCATGACTGATACCGCAAATGCAGTTACTAGCAATTGATATGATATCTTCTGCTTGTCGTCTGTACATACTACGTCGCCCTCCGATTCGTATCTCCAGAAAAGCAAACTATAAGCTCGCAGCAATGACCCTACTCTCTTTGCGTTCCGTAAACAATGTCGACAGACGCAACATACATGGGTGGTGACATCCCGCGCAACATCAGATCTGCCAATACGCCTAGTCTTACCAAGCTGGAAGTTGTAGAGGTCATACCCAATTATCGATGCTACTTGCCTTGCCCAAGACTCATCTTGGATATATTGTTTGAGAGATGAAGCCGAAAGAGTTCCTTCCGAGACTAGCATCTCTAGAGACCACCTTGCTACAATGACAGAGGCGGAGCTGCAAACGTGCAACAAAGTATGCTGATTGTTGGCTTAGCAACCCTATTGACTGGCTTGTAGATTTTGGATGAAGCAGACTGGGATATATATTGAATGGAGCAGGGCATTCGGACCTGCTCTGGCTACGAAGCGATAATATCCCGGATGTTCTTCGTGTTTGCTTGAATGACTAACATCAAGGCGTTCTCTGAAGAGTACGATTCGCCAGTATGCGGATAGGAGCTGTTAGACTTGCACTTCCTGGGTCTAATTCTATCTATACGTGGAAAAAAGTTGCACGTTTGACCGTCACAACCGGTGAGCGATTTTTTGGTGATTTCTAAAGAGCAAGATTTTTGACGAGATCTTGCTAGTTTTGTAGGGATCGAGTAAAAATAGCTTCAAGGTATCGACGTCGAAAATTGCGATTCAGACGGCTCCTACTAAACGAAGTGCTTCGCCTGTGGTGACGGGAGCTGGTTTCCTCCCTGGTACACTTCCATTCTACGCATGCTACTCACGCTACTTCCGACTCTGAACGTTTGTGCATGTGTGGTCGTATGGTTGTTGCTGGAAAATGACAACTGGGCGGTACGGTGTACCGCCTTGTGCCGGCAGGGACTCTCTCCCTCATGCTTTTCTTCGAATTCGAACTTTGATCCGGCTTTTGATGCCTGAGATCCTGATGATATCAATTCGAAATTCAAATTAACTGGAGCATGCAATTAACGGAGAGGTACAGGGCTTTGCATCGCACGTAGAAGGTCAAGAACTCGAGACTGGCAGCAGACAAAATGAGGTTGCATGATAACCCGATTCTCTTTTCAAGAACGACTTGCCGCATTTTCTATATCAAGACTTTTGCACCGAAGGAGTACCACCATAATCTCATACCCACGTACAGTCAGCGCCTTTGCTTTTTGGGTGTTACTTCGATGTCTGATGTCTCGACAGAGGTCGGATGTCGACGACTCATTGTCAATGGTTTCTATCTCGAGTCGCTGCATCGCCCGAACATGTGACTCAATTGGGATGGTATTGATACCGTAGTCGGAGACGACATCATTACAAAGAAAGGTACGCAGTTTCCAATCGGCCCGCCATCTCTCATCTTCTATTATGAAGGCGAGAAATTCCCATTCGATGTTATCATTCTGTCCACGGGGTTCGTCACAGTATGCATCTAGTCTTTCAGGTTCAGGTCATAGCTCAATACAGAAAATATCTGTAGGATGACTATCCCCTCCATGTCAGTGGCACCGAGCAGACTGTCAAAGAATACTATACTTCTAAAGGCGGTCAGACTGCATACCGTGGTACCACAATTCCCGGATTTCCCAGTTTCTATATCATGGGAGGTTCGGTCATTTTCTCTTGCCATAAATAAACTGCATGAAATGAATTGGTGTCCAGGTCCAAACACAGTGACGGGTCATATTTGTTGTTTTTACCGAAGAGGTCCAGGTGCTGTCAGCTTTCTTTCAGGTTTCCTTCCTGGTCACAATTCGGTTTTCAGGCTAATTATGCCATGAATTTGGTAGCGCCGGTCATAGAAGGGCTTGTGTCGTCTTTCACAGTCAAACACCAGCCCACGGATGACTGGAACACCAAGATTCAGGCTCGTCTGCTCGTTCCGTCTTCCCCGATTGCCTTTCGGGGTATCGAAGCGGGAAGAACGAGAAGGTTACAGTCATATTCCCTGGTGGCGCACCACTGTTTTGGTGGTGGATGCGGAAGACATACTTTGAGCACTATGATGCCGTCGCGACACAGGACTGGTATAAGCAAGTAAAGCGAGAGAGACGCATGAAGCTGACTAAGGTGATGGTGATGAGATTGTTGGTTACAGTACTTGGAGTGTGGTTCGCGCATGAAATTGGGAGGACTGGATCAATTCTGGAGTGGTAAATGAAGCGCGAGAGGTTGTTATCCCTCTTTTTTTGTATATTGGCATGTGTTGATTGCCTTCAAGGAAATTCTGTCCAAACTTGAGGAGCTCGCTAGTTTTAGGGAATTCTAAGCGGCATATATATCGACGGTATCATGAATTACTCTACTTAATTCAATCTAACATAACATTTTTGAGAGCATCGATGCGATTATTACCACTGTCTTTTGTTAGTGCTATCACTTCCTGGTATTAACTGCCCGTCGCATCCATTGACAATGAGTGGTATATAAGATGGTATCGAATACAAGTTGATCGAATGTTGTGCATTCATGTCGCTCGCCTTACCATACGGTGGCACACCACACCAACCTGGACAGAGCCATACTTTGTCCAAGACGGTCGGCCAAACATCATCAAAGTGGCAAGAACAAAGACAAGGGCGCTTTGGCCAGCGGCATGTATAAAAGGCTCGGTCATTCTTTCATTCACCTCTGCCGTTCAGAGACTCATTCTCCACCTCCAGATGCCTTTCCCTTCTTTCAAACGGTTCAGGGCTTATCTTCATCGATGCTCACCTACATTGAAACGGCGTGGCGCTCCAAGAAAAACTCCAATTTTTGGCAATGCCACTCGTGCTGTGGATTCTCTCGGCACAATAGGAGCCTTGCCTCTCTCTCACGACGAAGTCATTCAAGAAATCGTCGTCGGTGCTATTAGGCACCATCGCGGCAACGCTGACATCGCCACTTCCGACGTCCAGGATGTCATCATCGCCGCCACTCCCAAACCTCGGGCGGCCTTTGTTGAACATCTTCAGTCAGAACTACAGCACCGAACGCTTGAATCTGTTACGCGCAAAAGCCGTTTCCGGCATCGTGTAGAATGCGATGGACATAATTATATATTTTCTCACGTCCTCGGCAGAGGCGCCCACGGAGTCGTCAGATTAGCTTATGATGGATCAAAGGACCGTCCAGTGGCTATCAAAATTGTCAACAGGACACAATTATTTATCGACGGCGTTCCCGTGGCCAAAGACGAGAAAGAGGACGGCTATATCTCCGACCTATGTAAGGAACGTGATGCACTAAGACTTGCGGGTGCCACAGGATCACCTTTCCTTCCTACCTTGTTGTCTTTCTTTCAAGACCTCCAATACTTCTACCTTGTCATGGTGCGCTAGCCGAAATTCCATACAGTCCCTCAGGTCAGGATCATACTGATTCTGCCCTGACAGCCGCGATATTATAATTCCCTCTCGGATCGCCTGGGAGAGCTAACAAAATCCAATCGGGTCATGGTCATGGCAGAGTTGAGACACCACGCAGCCGAAATTGTATGTTATCATTTTCTCTTCCTTGAAAGTTTCACTTGAGCCCAGAATGATCTAGGTTCTGGCTGTCGAAGCTCTGCACCACTTTGGCTGTTTCCACTGTGACATAAAACCAGAGAATCTCATGTTCACAGAGGAAGGGCACCTGGTCCTCGTCGACTTCAGTCTATCTGAAGTAGGCTCTGGTATTCTTGAGGCGGGCGGACGAGGCACGCCTGGATACATTCCCCCAGAAGCCCTTGATGGAAGATCGCACTACTCTGGGTACGCTGCTGACATCTATGCTATGGGAGTGGTTTTTCTTCAAATGTATCTCTGTCCGCGCAAGAGTTATGTATGTATCCATTTTTAATTGCAGCCCGTCCTTGATTCTGATCCTTATGATGCAGGACATTTTCAATGATAAGGGCGACATAACCGTGTCTGTTTGGGGAACTTTACATCGCAATGAAGAAGCTGCCGGATGCCTGATACAAGAGGTGGAATGACTTTCTTCGCTACCAGTGTCCCGGCCGCTAATCCCGTCGTAGCTCATGGAAAGCAATCCGGATAGGCGTTTACCGATGGGCGTTATCAAGGGGCATTCTTTCTTTCACCCTTGCTTGTGACTATCCCATAGTCTATCGCCCTAACTTCATGCGCTAACGTTGCTCCGGTAGAGATTGGCACAAAGTACAAAGGATGGAATACGGATGTGAGTGATCGTCTGCGAAGAATAGAGCCTTTATTCTCATGGTCATCACCAGCTCCCCATGTTCCAACAAGCACACCGCTAGAGGCGCATTACACTTGCAATTTCCAGTCCACGATCAGAGGTCATTCCCAAGTTAACGGGACAATGCGTGGGTGGCCAGGTTCATGGTCTGTCTATATTACTAAAACATGGTCATATGGTTTCGTAGCTATTGAACCTATGGACCGCAGCATCCCAGTAGATGCCGGCCACAAGGAAGGTGCTCGGGAGCTTAGACCCACGGAGCCTTCCACATATAATTCGAAGGCACATCAGCATCAAACATGTCGTATGTATCTGCTTCCTCTGGGATGAAATCTTATTACTAACAGTCCTTTGAACTTTGAAGGTATGACGGATTCAGATTCCACTAAGATATGATAATGAACATAATATTTTCCTCGAACGCCGTGGTTCATCTGGCTCAGACCTTCCCCCATGCTACTGAATGTAGCTGGAACTACGGCATGCATATGTACAATATTCTGAATCACAACAAGAATAGTAATTCTTGTTCAGTCTCGACATCAGCAGCGAGGCCGGCTTAAGGTCGGCTTTCAGTTACTTTCGACGGAGTTGATCATCTATCGATGTTCTTCAAGGACAAGTACCACACCTTGTAAAGTCTGCATGCGTTATTTCTCCCTACATCGACATCAGCAGTGACTCGCTGTTATAAGAATATTGATTCGGAACGAGTCTCAGAAACACAACCTTGGAGGTCCTCGGAGTTAGTCCGAGTATTAGGTGGATGCAGCTCCGACGTTACAAATTATCGGATCCATGACAGCCCATAGGCCAACGCTCCGTTGTCTACGGTACCATAGGTAGAAAGGACATTGTGCCTAAAATAGCTGTGAGTACTGTATCATGAATCCCGTATCGATTGTTTGAATACCGGCCTGCCAGTGCGTTGTAGGCCATTAGGGCCTCCGGGACAGCTTGGCCAGTCACGCTCTGGGTCTTCATGATGTAAACAGCGCCCAAGCTTGTTATCTCAATTTGGTTCCATTCGAACGCCTCGAAAAGAGTGAGGCCCCAATCATTGTGTAGTGTCACGGCTATGCTCAACTTCTTCAAGCTCTTGGCGATGTTATGTCGGAGGAGCTCCAAGGATATAGATATAGACGAAAAATCACTTTCCTTATGGAACTATCAGTAATATTACAGAGAAAGAGCAAAGGTATAAATTCACCAACACCGCCGTCACCGTTACAGTTGAGTCATTCCTCAATACTTTTGAACACCAGATATCAGGGATCATATGCGATGGACGATAAAGTTGCACAGTTAGAGTCCTGCCAGGAAGATGAGAATACTCTCGTCATATGTGATAGCTATGAATACCGAGATTTATATTGACTCGAAGCCACTAGCTGCGCCGCCAGGACTGGGACCAGGACTTTCAAAATGATACTTTTATGCTGGCACAGTGACTCTTAAAATATTAAAGCTTGAGCGAGGGCAGCACGGAAACTCTTGCCAAGTGGACACGGGCATCTTCGTCAACTGACTTGCGATATTGCGAGTCGGACCGGGTCAATGAATTGTGTATGAATGGATATATAGTCGTCGAGTAGTCAGGCTTTTTTCGTTTCAAGGGTACCAGACAAGGCCCTGTCGCAGGCTTCGTCGTGGACGAAATCGTGGATCCGACAAGAAGCAGTAACATCAGTCAGAACCCGATCAGATACACATACCGATGTCGGCATAGCGCCTCAATGCAGCTACCATAACGGCAGTTGGTAGTCTTCACCGGGGGCGTTGATTGCAACATCCATCCCAACAGTCTATATCGAATTGGAGTTTCCATCAGATATTTATTGACCAGCGCTCGTGTAGATTTATTCCCAGACATTGCCGTTGAGGCCGCACATTCAAAAGCGTCACGTACACAGATAGCGTGTTGTTGACGTCGCTGCTTTCGATCTCCATTGGGATGTCACCTAAGAACCGTGGCAGGGCGCGCCCATCAAAGTATCAAGATCATAAGCGCCACTATGCCTCAAGTAGGCGTCGTTGTAAAAGGCCCTTCAATGAGGGGGCATCGCATTTTGATAGCAGAAGAGGCTGCGGCTACAATGCGACATGTACGAGGCCCAGCCTCACACGGCCCAGAGGCATGTCGCATTTATTATGTAGTTGCTTTCCACTGATGAGGCGGGCGACAGCACTGAGTGAAAAACGGTGGTATCGCAATGTGTCATGAAGGCAGTCCTTTTGGTTGCATATGCAACGAAGAATTGTGGAAGGCGTAATACCCAGATAACCCATATTGAAGTGGTAGGATACTCGGACGTAGTATATGCAACCGCGGCCCGCTTCCAATGGGAAAATGTCAGGTCGACATATTGTCCACCTATCAGTACGTTGACATCTTCGTGCCTCAATGAATGTGATGATGACAAGGGAATCAGCTCACTCGAGGTACCGATTCCCAAGTACCTAGATTGACGAAGGGGTCGAATATAATTTCCAGTGGTAGACAGCAGATCCAAGTTCGCTGTACGATTAACTTGGATACGTCAATTCTGCCTCAAGGGTGACTACGACCACGAAGACTTTGGGGCTTTCTCCTGTTATGAATCAAGAAAATCAGTCATACTCAAATGAGAGAAACCGGGCTTTCCACCGCTAGAATTCAGTTCTCTCAACAAATTTTAGTTGAGATATCAATTCCAATAAAGTCCTGCACAAAATATGTTACTGAATTATAACGGAAGGGCACAAAAGTTACACGTTGGTCTTGAGTTCCCGGCGTCCGTTCAACTTGAACGGCGCTGATTGATCTAGCCGCTTTGCCGACACTGATTTCGGCGTCCGGCATGTACTCGGCTACCGATCCGAGCATCCTTCGATCAATGATCTCAAAAGTATTTCAGCTTTTTCATTGTTCCTAGTAGAGAAGATATTATTGCATAGGGTCCCGCCTCCTGACATGTGTGGATCTTCCGCACTGCTATAGCCTTGGATGAAGCGCGTACTAATCCTTGCCTGCACTAAATCGTTCACTGGCATTCTAGCTTATCTGAGTCTGTCACAGGCAGCGTCGAGAGGCGCGTACTACATCAATTTCGTCTCGTTACGGGCTTGCGACACTGGACATCCGGAAAACCGCAGCAAGGCAGTTCCTAACCTTTACGTTTTTCCTCCGGTGCTATGAGCACCGACACCGACAAGCCGCCCTGCCTGAAACATGATTCGGATTCTCCTGGCAATGCCCACATCCCCTTTCTGTTTGCAGTCGTAGAATCTAGCGATCACCCTGCTTACTTACAAAGACTTCGGGCTGGGTTGATTACCGTTCTGACCATCCTCGCCCAGAACGTTTCTGTGGCTGCCGGCTCACGCGGTATTAATTGAGTACTTCGAACGACGTGGTCACTCAATGATGATTTTTGGGGGTCTATGATACATCAACATCATTGTTATTCCGTCCAAAATGAGGTATGTGCTTAGATATTCAATCAGGCATCAGCATCATTCGTTTTCGCGCAGTAATAGACGATTCAAGGCTGGCTAAAACTCCCGACTCACAGGGTAGACCGCAAAGGATCAATTTACCAATGGTTTCAATTCCACAGTTTGTGAGTACAAGGATCTTGGTGATGCCTCAAAATATTTTTCGATGTGTCCAGACAAAAGCCTGTCGTTTATATAACGTTGGTGCTTGGAAGGACATATTTGCACTATCATTTTTCTCCTCTACGTCTTTCCACAATACTGATAACTACAATGAGCTCAACGACTCAGAGCCACGCTCTCCAGAGAGGACGCGCCTGTTTTCATTGCCGTCGCAGAAAAATGGTCAGCGAATACTGTGTTATTTGGGCGCTCGCTCATTGCCTTTATCGTCTAGCGATGCGACGGAGTACGTCCTGTATGTGGTCCCTGTACTCGAGCGCGTCGACCCGATGACTGCCAGTATACGGACAATCAAGGACGCTCTCGAATGGAAATATTGGAAGAAAACATTAGTCGCGTCCAGGCGCGTATTCAAGAACTAGAGCACCCCACAAGCTCCGAAGCCTCGATTACCTTACACTCGCCTTACACACAAGCTGCAATGAATACTACAGGGCCGTCTCGCGTCTCTAGTAAGCACTGCCATAATGTGAAAGGCAGTTCACTAAGTAGTTCACAGCTCCGTCACCTTTTGGTCCTCGGGGTCCACAGCCAAATGCTCCTCGACAGAACTGGTGGATGTTACCCGAACCTCCCTCTGAATTGAAAGTGACTTTGTATGTTTGAAGTGTAGGATATTTCCAGTGTGATCTGATTCTTCTTGCTCAGGGTTGACAAATTTCTATTTTTTGCGTCCGAGTTCGGGTTTTTCCTTCATCCGGCACGTTTCCGAGCTTCTGCTCTTCTGTCGTCACCTATAGGACATCGTTCCCGTCCTTTACCCGCGTTACTGACGACTGTTTATCTTTGGGGGACTAAACTCTCAGGCTCGTCGACATCGACAGAGATCGAGAGAACACTCTTGGCTCGTGCATTATCACAGGTCTCCGGTTCCCTCGCGGGTAACCATCCGCACAAAATAATACACACAATACAGACGGAATATCTGTTGGCGTATTATTTTTTCTCCTCAGGCAGGTTCCTGGAGGGGAAGTACCACGTTACAACGAGTGTTTCACTGGCCGTGAGCTCAAAGATTGATAAAATACGCTCCGATCAAATCGATCCCCGAGAGAATTTAGTGTTACCAGCAGCGCAGGATCCTATAGAGGAAGGGGAGCGAGTTGATGCATGCTGGAGCATGATAATTCTTGATAAGTGCTGGGCGGTAGCCCTGGCGTCTCCAACGAACAATATTTGTCCCTCTGATGATCCTAAGATGCAAGTTGACACACCTTGGCCTCTCGAGATCGAAGATTACGAGAACGTGAGTCGGCTCTTCCCTGCTTTGCAGATTCATTGATTTCGTTGTCTTCAGGGTGGCTATCCGGCAGGGATGAGGGGCAGGCGCACGCTGGACAATTATCTCAGGGGTGCATTGAGCTCCAGAGGTAATGAGATGTCGATGAAGAGCCTTTACGTTAAAGCTTCCTTGCTGTGGGAGCGCTCCAACGATTTGGTTGGGACCTGGAAATCGCGTTCGTTCGCCACTCCTATAACGCCTTATCTAACTGCTCTCTGTAGACATGAGCTCTCAAGAATCGGCCGCTTTCTATGGAACGTTCAATACCTTGGATACTCTACTCGAGAGTTTGCGTGTCAAACTTCCACCCCCGAATCAGATGGCTAATCGCACTCCGCCCAAAATGCGCACCCTGTTTATCATCCATAGCTTAACCTACGCTGCTATCATTCAACTACACGCAGTCTTCGCGCAGAATATGGCGGAATCCAAGACGAAGGTTCTCCTCTCAGCTCAAGCCATTTTTCGCATGGTTAATGCCATCCGTCTTGGCAATGCCACGCAAACTATCAATCCAATAATGGGAGTACGTTTGATTCGCCTCTCTGCTACAGTGAACTCTACTGAACGTTTTGTAGACGGTTTGGGTCTCTGCGGGCCAGGTAATCCTGGAAGAACTAGCAGCCTTGAAAGCCTACCGTTTGTCAAGATCGGAAAATGCACCGCCGACTGAAGAGGAAACGGGTATCCTCAGTGTTTTCGAGAACGGCTTGAGGGATATGATGCCCTTAGGCCGAAGTTGCTGTCTCTTGAGTATGATAATTTCTCCATGTGCCCATCTCTGTCTGATCTCGTTGATCAGGATATCAGTTGAGCCAAATTCAACAGGCTTATGCAGCGCTCTGATTAAGGCTTGATTATTTATTAATTTATCTAAGCTATTCATTTATTTAAGTGCTGTCCGCATTTTTTAATACAATATATATATACACGTGGCCAGATTTCGATTCTAATTTATACAGCAAGACAGTATTTAGCGGCTCTGGCCCAATGGAAATGAAGATGCCAGCCAAAGATAAAGGGAGCCATATTGCTGGAAAAACCCATCGACGTTTAGCGAGATGGGATGAAGAGAAAAAACTCGGGATTGGGCGATCGCCATCCTAATGGAAAGCGCCGTATTCTCATACGTGATGTCAAACAAGTATATGGCGCCGAGTTCGACATTGATTTTGAGGCATCGAAAAAGCGGGGGTCAAAGACCCCGATTGGGATAGTATGGTGACGCCCGAGCAGGTTGAGTGGGCGACGGATATCTGGGAAGATACTATGTACGATGACCTATATTGTTGATGGAGATATGGTTAATCCGGTGACTAATGAAATGATTGGAACTTCTTGAAAATTAATGAATTCTAATACAGCTAGGGGTGCAGGCTCAATTTTCAGGGTGTACATCCCCATGGCCTTACCATTATGGACCGGCCCTATTAATATCGGCCTAATACAGAGCCTGGAGTTACGGCGCTGGAAAGATGGAAGAATGCTTCCCCACTATTTCGAGGTAAGGGCTCATTCTAGACCCACCGTGACTAGGATACCACCTGACTATGCCACAAGTCTATGTATCCCACGCAAGAGCCAGCAATGATATTACGCAAACCGTGTCGGCTTCTCTAAGATTCGATAGGTCCTTGAGCAGCGTGGGCAGCGAGAACAGGTAAGCACCCTTGCTCAATTTTTCATAGGAGCGATACGATGCTCATAGTCTTTCATCAGGAGATAAACATGAGTGAGGAACAAAAGAGGTGCGAGTATTGAAACATTCAAATGGGCGTTTGTAACCCCAGGAATTGCAGTAGAGGCGCGGGCCGTCAAACGGCTGGTCAATGGAGATGCGACGTCTGCAATCGCACCATGAATGTCCAGAACAGGGAGAGCCATCTCTCTGGTAAAGCCCATCGAGACCTTACAGCTGCTGGAGGAAGTCAGCATGCGGGGACATCGACGGAAAGAGCGTCTCGTTGGAAATGCGACATCTGCGACAAGATGATGAATAGTAGGGAAAAAGAAAGCCACCTCTCCGGGAAGAGTCATCGTAAGCGCGTAGCTGCTCAGCAGAATCGCCACTCCAAACCGCCTCCCCCACAATGGAAGTGCGATGTTTGTGGCTGCGTGACGGATGTTAAAGACAAGGACGCCCATCTCTCTGGTCAACCCCACCAAGACTTGGCTGCTCGTCAAAGTCAGCAGAGCAGGGTGCCTCCGCCAGGAGGGATCAGCTGGATGTGTAATGTTTGCAAGGAGATGGTGTATGTTAGGAAGGAAACCCATCGGCACAGCACGCGCCATCGAGAACTATTAAAGTCCATGCAGCGCCCCGCTGGGCCTAGAGGCGAATCGTCCTCTTCCACAGTTGGTGTCGCACAATGGATGTGCGACTTCTGTGACCAAACGATGCTCGCGAATAGGAAGGACAACCATTTGTTTAGTCAAGGACACAGACAAAAAGTGCTGGCTGAGTATATTAAGCCAGATTGGCGATGGGAGCCTCGATGGAGGTGTGATATTTGCGACCAGACGGTGAGGGCCGAGCAGAGAGAGAGCCATCTCTTCAGTAGAAACCATCGAGATCTCGAGTTGGATGTCCTTCGGCACAGCGCCGGGAAAGCGATGGTAGGAGAGGTGCTTTGGATGTGCAATGTCTGTGGTCAGACGATACATAAGAAGAGGAAGGAAATACATCTCGCTAGCGACCGACACCGAACTCTAAGTATGTTTCGGAGCGTTCCTACGCTATCTGCGTTTGAATCGGACGCACATCGTAAGGTGGCACTTTCGAACCTCAAGTATTGAATGATTCTGGGGCCACCTGGCGAACGTACTAACTATTTTTTCAGCCCTCGTGCTGTCCTGCCATTTTCATTTTTCGTATGCCTTCGTCTATATGATTCATGTCTTTACTAAATACCTGCCTGGTCTATTCAGTACGCAGTCCTATGTCAAGAAGTATTTACTTCGTGTATTTTTTCTCCTGTCAGATGCTCTTGAGTTTTGACTTTTCATTGTTTTTAATCAGCACAGTGTGTACGTACCGAATTCTCTTTAAATTTTTCAGAAGGTCAAATAGGTAGTTGCATTTCGTTCAGTTGTAGCCATTATGACTACCTACCATTTTCGAGCAGTGGTATCCGGGACAAGCCTCAGGTAATGGACGTTAACGATAAGGGGCTGCAGTACAAATAAGGCAAAAGAGGTTGCGTACTTCCCGCAGCAATGGGAAGGGGATGACGCAACCCGGCTTGTGCCACCAACCGTCACCTAGCAGCCTTGAAAGCCTACCGTTTGTCAAGATTGGCAAATGCACTGCCGACTGAAGAGAAAATGGGTATCCTCAATATTTTCGAGAGCGGCTTGAGGGATATGATTCCCTTAGGCCGAAGTTGCAGTCTCTTGAGTATGATAACTTTTTCCATGTGCCCATCTGCATTTTTTCATATGTATACGTGGCCAGATTCTCGATTCTAATATTCCTGTCATTATGGGAGTGTCGAAGTGGTGCACCACAGCTACGCTGCAGTACGGACAGCACCCCCTGCTGCACTACCAAGTCTAATCATTATTGACCATGACACCGATCGGTCGCGGTATCGGACCTGCCAAATTCTTGTGCGTCGTTCGAGACGGAGTAGACTTTTCGGCCTAACTTTCCGTCTCCGGGCTACCGGCTATTCATAGCCGACTCGGATATTCCCCACGCTTTCCGATTCCACAATGGATTCTGCTTGCCAATGGACAGAAAAGCCGACACAGACTAGTAATGAGCAATTTTCTAAGTGTCTCATCCCGCGAATGTTCAGTCTGCTTTGGGGATGTGCTGATGTGCAATCCCCAAGTGCGCTAGTGCACATTGCTCAAGATTCACAGCACTCTACGATTTGCAGCGAACTCCCTTTAGCCTGGAATTCATTCAAGTCGAATTATCAAAGTGCGTAGACGTCAACCATAATGCGGCGCATAATATTTCATTGATCTTTGTAAAGCTGCAATCATCCATGTGCACTCAATGCTTTTTTTAAGTCTCAACTGTACAGAAAGTTTTTATCCTGCTAGAAGTGATAGTTAGTATATGCGCGAGTACATTGCAGCCTGGCTTCCTCCTCAGACGTTCCCAGCTCTACAAGTTTTCTAGATCCTTATCGTTCTCCCGGATGACGAGAAATCACAGACTCGGCCTTCGGTCATTCACACAGCCACAGCGGGAAGAGTGAAGCTCACTGACAAAATTTGCCTTCGAGGGGAAATTCGCTAATACTCCGTACTCGCATATTATGCCTTGTATCCTGAGTACGTGTTCACTTAGGCAGTGCATGGCACCCTCCTACACGGGTATAAATGAGAAGGCACCCTAGGTATGCATTGCTGCCTAACACTCGATGTCTTCTCCTTCCTCCATTCGCAACTCCTCTCTTCACTGGGGCCATGCATGTATTCATTGCCGTCGACGAAAAGTGGTTGGCCTTCATATCATTCACCAGTGTCGTACCTAGTTTTTAAGTAACTTCTTTGCAGCGATGCGATGGTGCTCGCCCAATTTGTGGACAATGCAGGCGAGGAAACCGATCCGAAGACTGTCAGTATAAAAACAGCCAGGGTCGTACCAGGATGGAGATCCTCGAGGAAAACATAAGTCGAGTTGAGGCTCGAATCCGTGAGCTTGAAACCCCCCAGGAGCTGGTCCTGCCTGTCGTTTTGAGTAACCCTTACTCAACTGCTGGTTCCTCTTCGAATCCCAGTATGCTTATTGTTTCCTTCATCCTGAAGTTGGGCTAATATACAGGTGTACCTCCAAGTACTGCACTTCCTTCGTTAGGTTATGGCTGGTGGACACTACCAGACCCTCCTCTGGAAGTCAAAACACTCTTGTTCGTTCATTTACCCCCTTTATACTTATAAAAAGTCTGAATACAATATTCACGATCTATAGGATCGATAAAGTTCTTGATAGCGCTTCAGAATACGGATTCTTTCTTAACATTTCGCGCTTCCGATCAGCAGCCCTTGACCCTTCAGCATACTACTCCAGGCCATTACCAGCACTCATGAGGACTGTCTACCTACTAGGAATTTTTCTATCGCATACGCCGTCTTTGACCGTCCATGAGAAGACGTTCCTTCAACGAGCGCTGGCCGACGTATCCGGTGCACTATCAAATAATTATCACCCTCAGAAATTCGTGCAAACCATGCAGGCAGAGGTTCTACTGGCGTGTTACTTCGTAGCATCCGGACGTTTCTTAGAAGGGAAGTACCATATCACAACAGCTGTTTCCCTAGGCCTCAGTACTGGGCTGAACAAAATACGATCCGACCGGAATACCTCGACGGGTCTGGCGACGTCGGTTCTCCCCCCGCCGCACGATGCCATCGAGGAAGGGGAACGCGTGGACGCTTGCTGGACGGTTCTGATCCTGGATAAATGTTGGGCAGTCGCTTTAGCATCTGCTCCCAACTATGCGTCCCCTTCTGATATCGTCGGAGAGGCCCATCAACTCGACACCCCGTGGCCTCTTGAAGTTCAAGATTATGAACATGTGTGTTTGACTTACCTCCAGTGATATGCCTCTTTTCTGATGCGTAATATCTTTAGGGAGGGTTTCCTTCTGGTATGGTGTGCAGTTGTACCATTCAGAAATACCTCACAGGTGCGCCTACGTCAGGCGGTAATGAAATGTCGACAAAGGCACTTTATGCGAAAGCATCCCTCCTATGGGAGCGCGCAACCGACTTGGTAAGTAATTGGAAACCTGGTATGTGGGCGGCTCCCTATTCTAAACGATAATCCTAACATCAATGTAGACATGGCCCAACAAGAGTCGATTGACTTTTATGCGTCTTTTGGGACCCTGGACGGCCTACTCGAGAATCTGCGAAATGCCCTTCCATCGCCAAACGCCGCGACCAACCCGAAGTCTGTCAAACGGAGGACTCTCTTTGTCGCCGATAATTTGACCTACGCCGCTATCATGCAGTTGTATGGTCTTTTCGCGAAGGTTGATACCCAGTCCAAGGATAAGGTTCTCATGGCCGCTCAAGCTGTATTTCGAATGACCGGTACCGTACCGCGTGGTTCGCCCATCAATCCGATTATTGGGGTAAGTCCGACATTCCGTCGTAGATTTTCTATCGATCAGGCCACTTATTCTGTTGTGTCAGACGGTCTGGGTATCTGCGAGTCAAGTCCTACTTGAGGAACTGGTTGCGTTGAGGGCATCGCGCTCTTCCCATGGTCCTGCGAATGACAGGGAAACGGAGCTTCTCGGTGTCTTTAATGCTGGATTTCAGGATATGATCCTCTTGGCAGAGGGCTGCATTCTCCTAAGTAAGTCGAAGTTGGGATGGGATGTATTCCACGCTAACCTTGAAATGACCGTGATATAGAGTATCAGGTGAAGCAAATACAGGAAGCGTTCGCTGCGTTGTGATTGCTGGATTCTGATAGATGGAAGTGCTTACATGATTCTATTAATGGACGACACGCTGTCGGGAATGCATCAGTATTAGATATATTCTTTATCTTACATTTTCGTAATCATCAACATATGTTAGATCCCTAGCGATACAAAAAGTGTAGTTGTACCGTATATCCAAATAGTTGGACAAGACAACAAAAAAGAACCAAGGACAACGGTCTAGTCAAGAATAGAAACTACCAATCTTCACAATCGACAGCAAGAACCAGCTGTCTGTGTTTTTCATCGCTCCCGGTGACGGGAATTTTCGAGCCACTGCGCTGAATAGCAAATTGTGACCCGAATCCGAATCCGAATCCACTGCCACTGCCATACCTCGACAGATGGCCTGGTCGACGGTCACGCGACGAGCTCCGCGAAGTAACGCCACGCGTTTCCAAATCCATAATTACCTCAATACTGGGCCTCTCTCTTTTCAATCGTTCCATCCCATCGAAAGACTCGAGTCCATTGACGTGGATCATCCTGAGCAAGGGGCATACGCAGCTTCCCGCACATCCCCCAACAAGAAAGTTGACCAACACTTCGAAATCCTCGTCGTTACTGGAAACGGAAAGCTCTTCCAATGCCCTCGCCCGTCCCAAGCACCATTCCCACGTCTGAGCACCTGGATCATCACGGTGAAGCGAAAGCCCCGTGATGTACATACGCTTGACACACCAATCCAACACCCCTCTGGACATGAGTTTGCGGCTGACAGTCTGTAGTGACTGCGTTAACTCGGCAGACGCCCCATGTCGCTTTCCGTCCAAATCGTTGATATGAAGTTCCTCCAATACCGGAGCAACGAGGACCTCAATGAGCGAGGGGACCTCGTTTGTCCTCAACGAGAGGCTCTTCAAGTAAGGGAGGTACAGCTCATCAAACAGGGGCTGGTGAGTTTCCGCATGTACCACGCGTGACGCAATCTCTAGGTTCACGAGAAAAGGCGCGGCATGTACGATCTGCAAAAGCTGCTGAACGGATATTGGAGGGGCTCGGAGTGGGCGGGCAATAGTCAGGGTCTGGAGATTATGAAAATCCGGAGTGAAAAGCGAGGGTAGTTTGTGATTGGTCAATTGTAGAGATTTCAGATGCGGGATGTGAGTGAAGGAATGGAATACGGACGTAGCGGCCGAAGTTGCAGGAAGACCCGGAGTATCGGACGCCACGCGAAGCCTTAATGTTTTTAGCGGTAGCTGGGTTGGGGAAGGAGAGAATGGAAGGGGGAAGTACAACGCGTCTAAGAAAGAATGCGCTGCCTTCTCTGTTTCTGAACGGACGTTCAGAGAAGAAATGCGGGTGGTGTGACGCTGGAGAAATGCAATGAGGAATGGGTGAGTCTCGGGTATTTTGGTCGTCTGCCCTTCGATGTCGACATACAGGTCGAGGCAGCAGACGCCAGAGAGGGAGAACCAGAGGGCTGCCTTGCGAATAGCCTCACGTTCCTTTTCTCGACATACAGAAAGTCGCAGACTGCGCCAAGCACGGGGGGTATTCAACGCTACGACACGAAATCGTTGGCACACCGTAGACAGAATGGTGGGTGCATCAGCAGAATAGTATGAGCAGCGAACGAAAACCTCTCCTAATAATTCGTGGGGTATAGTTGTAATACCGAGGGAAGCCATTGAAAAATACAGCCAGTGTTCTGCGTGCGAGTCAGTACAAATAGCACGATAATGTAGTTCCAGGACGTACAGAGAGAGCAAGGTAGGAGCAAGGTGGGCATAAGGTTGGAAGAAAGTGATGCCCTTTTAAAATTACATGCAACGGAAAATTCGAAATGTGAAACACACGGTACGGCTCCAAGCCGTGTTCCGCCCAGCCCCCTTGATCCTTTATAGGCACAAAACCTAGATTCATCGCTGACAGCTCAGTCAATCGATCGCAGAGTCAAATGGAAAGGCCGGCCACCTGTAGGATGCATGTAAAACATTGCCGTTACGTTGGCGTAAGTATTCGGCCCACTTTCAAAGATTTTCAACCACGTTGCAATCAAATTTCCACGCTTTTGGAAATTGCGAAAATCGGCCATTTGCAACTCGTAAAAGCTGTGTCAAGCTTTGCCAGACCGCCACGGCAAAAAATACAGTACATTGCAAGTACATTCAAGATGTTTGCGATACTGGTACGGGTAGGGGCGAATACCACCAATGCAAGGATTTTATTTCATTCAAATCAAGCAAAAAAGGGTAATATTACATCAGAGTTTTACCAGATTGCACAGTTTGGGCAGTCATGTAGCCACCCGCCAGTCCTCTAAGAATAATACGTGGTCACCATGAAACCACACGCCGAAACGAAGCTCCCCGGATGCAATGTAATATCTGTTCTGAGTGGCGTTAACGTCGGCGGAAGTAACGAGGGCAGCCTTACTTAGTCGCGTTTGGCGGCAATACGGATTACAAGACCCGCATTTTCCAAGAATTTCCTGCGACAGTCGGGCAAGCATACAGTGCGGCAACGATGTTCACATTTCTCACGATGTTCGCCACTGCAGTCACACATATAATTGCGGGGTTTCCAATGTTTTTCATAAGAAATTGCAGTACATGGTGCATGGAAAGCGTAGCAAAAAAAATTAATCAAAGAGACCGAAGCCCTGTAGCGATGATCAGAAACTCATAATCGTTACGGATTGTGAAAGAGAACGAACCATATCATCGTCGGACTCTTCCTTCTCTTCCTCCTTCTCCTCCTCCTTGGGTGCTTCGGCGGCGGCACCACCGGCAGCAGCAGCAACGGGAGCACCACCAGCAGCAGGTGCTCCTCCACCAGATCCAACGTTTGATAGAAGGTCTTTCACGTTCTTGCCCTCAAGGGCTTTTGCCAACAGAGTTGCCCAAATTGGCTCGAGCTCGACATTGGCAGCATTTGTCAAAGCAACAATTTTGTCAGACTGTTCCGTGACTTTTCCTGAGCTTCAAACAGAGCCAGAGAGTGTTGAGACGCACGGTGATTTCTATGCCATCGTCGGCAAGGATGAGGGCGGCGTATGTAGCGGCGAGTTCAGCAGAGGCCTATATAGAGAATCAAGTCAGCGCGTCATCCAAAGTTGTACACCTCCATCCAACGAATCGGGCTATTCGAATAGCATAATTTCGCATAGCAGAGATAATAGATGCATCATGGAGTCGAATGAGCTCACCATTTATGCGAGATAGGACCGGGAGTTGTCTGTAGGGAACGAGAGGGACGGTGAGCGTACTGGAAAATTGCGTCTTGATGCGTGGGAACTGCGGGATAGTGGTGTGACGTCACATATTTCCTGTTTTGGCAATGGCCCCCATCACGCCTCGCCCGATCTCGAGCCGTACCACTGAAGGCGCCCAGAAATTCGCATCCGGAAGCGAAGGGCAGCTGTCTCGTAATTTTGTACCAGATATCTGCAATCTAGACATAGCACATATATTAGACAGCTGGCAGGTTCTTTGGGCGACCAGATTCGTCGAGAGTCCTAGGTCAAACTAGACTAGATTTGTCTCCAGCGAGAATGGTAAGAGGCCTCCTATACGAATTATCAGTAATAATTTATTTACTCCTTGGAATGGTAAGGTTCCAGAAATAGCTATTTCTCAGAACCTCCACGCCACTCCGTCAGTGAGTGCTGCGGTAGTAAACCCTTAGTTTCTTCGGGTCCTTGGGCGTTACCTAGATGAGTACAATGGCGCGCCTCATGTGGAACATCACCATCTTTCTATGATCCCGTTAATTGTGTAATCCCTAGGCCCTTTATTTACACCGACCGAATGTTGAACCGATCTAAACACTTTAACAGCTGGTCGCTCCAGTCGGCTTCAACTTCAAACCTATCGGAATGAGCAAAAAAAATAGCAGCTCGTTTTCCATCAGCTCAATTCTTAGATCTAAAGGGGATGAGCCACACCGCTGAACATGAAGCAAAAAAATCTAACACGAGGCGGGGTCTAACATCACAGCGACCTTAACGTCATCGTATTAGTCCCTGAAACAATCCGCTTACAGTTGATATTGTTGATATTCACTGCTCTGTGGATAGATAGCATCACGCCATTATATGGTGCCGTCATTGCCACTCACTAAGTTTGCCCCACCCCCACCCACTTCCAACACTGCTCCGTTCTCAGTGGATATCGGGTTGCAATGTGAATGCCCACCTACAAACGGGTATATTGCAGCTTCGGTATTGCACCCACTCGTTCAGTCCCACTATTTTTACACACTAACGCAATTGCACGACGCTGACGATATCGACTTCACTTTCCCGGACGAACTTATCATTGTCTCCCCTCCTTCTGCAGCTGGCGCATCAGATACGAATTCAGTTTCTGATATCGATCAACTTCTTCCGCCACTGAGGCCAGTATGCGCTCAAAGTCGGCGGTATGATTTTGCAAAGCAGGGAGGATGAACGTAACATTGCACTTCTTGCATCCGATCGCCTCCTTGAGTTAACAAGACAAACAGCATGTTCTGTTGGCGCCTCGTGGTATCCTTACCTATCGATTTTCAGTGCATGAGAGGTCGATCTCCATGGTTGAAACGTCCCAAGGTAAGCGACTTTGACATTCTCTTGATATGTACTGAGAAATTTTTAACAGATGTACGCTGATGATACGGCCCGTCGCCGAAGCGGATCGACTGGGAATTTCGTACTCTGCTCCAAAGGGCGACAAGACGTACTTCTTGCGCGACCGAACGATCGATTTCCCTGCAAGAAACTCGATGTTCTATCTCTACTGATGGCGAATCTCATAACGTGACCGGAGTTATAGAGGCATAGAATGATACGGTGGTTTTGACCACCGAAGTCCGTCAGCTGGAAATTCGTTACGGCGCAGTCTCGAAGGTACTTGATCTGTTTATTCGACAATCTGATGTCCAGAGCTTTGGGATTCGCTTTGAGGTGCTCGATCTTCCTTCCTTCAACCATTGGAAAACGTACGGCACCTTGTGCATGACATACGGGATGCCGACTGGAGAAAGCAAAAAAATCAGAGAACAATTCTAAGAGAGCCAGAATGCAATCAACAGTCAGACTTTCAACACAATCTCGCCCGAAATGACTTCCAAGGCCTTTGAGACCTTGATCTCCACGACGCTTCTCTCCCAATCTGGACGAATAAATGGTCTACCCTTCTCCCCCGTCTCTCCTCCCTCAACCTCTGCTCATCCTCGTCCATCCGAAATCATCAGGAGGCGAGAACGTCCCAAGGAGCCAGAGCCATACCAAACTCTCTTGCCATCAGTATGATTTCCCTCTTATGACTGCTTTATGATATTCCACCGGCTTTGATACACCACAAACGCGTCTTGAGCCCGTGGCACAAGGCATACTGGCTTCCTTGCGCCACGATCCACACAGAAACGTCGGGTATACCGAGATACATCAGTTTACAGAGAGAGACAAGGCGGTGAAGGTCGTCCATGACTTCGCGGACCGGGAACTGAGAAGTTTTCAAAAATTGCTTCTCACTTTGTGTTCCATTCTTGACAGGCTAGATGATGCTATCAAGTTCTGGAGAGCGTTGCAAACGAGAAAAGGTCAGACCAGTGTCGGGGTAGAGGAGAGGCATTTGATCAGGAAAGATTACAACCACAGATCCGTTGATCTTGCGTTGATCCGCGTCAAAACTGGTCAAGTATGTAACTTTGGGCGGTTTAGACCTTTTGATTGAATCAGATGTCGAGATTGAATTTAAACTCGTACTAGTGGCAATGCCATTTTTAGCATTGCGTTCATGTCTAGGATCAGAGTCATGCGAGGGAGAATGAATCGGACCGAGTGAACGTACCACAGAAGTGACGTGGGCTAGACTCACCACATTGATCTACTCGAGCAAATGGACCCGGTCTATCTTAGCAGTAGCGATCGGAATCGCAGGAGAACAAAGTTATGCGTTCTAAGAGTTAAAATGAATCGGATTGTCAACAAACAGTACAATATGGGTAGCGTTCCAATCATTTATGTGAATTGTCCTTTGCTAGGAAGGAACTAATGCTACTTACCATAGCATGGTTCACGAAACTTCACAGCCCAAAAGCGATCTCCGGAATCCAGATGCCGGGCTCCAAGCTGTAGATGGACACTAAACTTGCGTTGAGTACGTCTCCAATGCTGTAGAGGTCGCTTTGAGTATTCTGCTTCTCTTCCAAGTAGTGGTATACATGGGTGGACATCAAATATGCTAACCCATGTATAGTGACCGAACAATGGTAACAGCGCAGTTGGACCTTTTCTCGCCGATCTTCCTGTTCATTTCTATGAGTCCGAGTCTCCAAAGAGTAACAGGAAGACAAACATATCGAAGTTCCATCATCTTGTGCTGCAGGCTATCAACGTCAACAGCTTTATCACCGTCGACGATTACATCATCTCCATGCAGAATTCTCAAGATGCTGACACCCGGAACGCGGTTATTTGGTCTGGTTGGGACAAACTCGATTCTCTCTAATATGAGAGGGCCGTATTCTAGAACCGCTGACTTGTAGTTCACGTAGGCTTCGTCTCCAGGGTTGTTTGGCTGAAGAACCCACTACAAAGCAGGGAGATCAGAGAAAATTGTGTCGGGGGATAGCGCCGATGTACCAACCCAGGGTTCCTCGCTCCGCCAAATCGAAGTTGGCATGCAAGGTCGACACTACATGGCGATAAGAAAGAGGAGAGGTCATGACAAACGTCGTGACTTACGGAAAAATATCCTACACGGCGTTGGGTCAACAAGGGCGTAAAAACTGCAGGGGCCTTTCCCTTGACGCGGGCGGGATCCAGAGGAGTTGTGGAACGGCTACGGCTACGAACGTCCGGCGATTGTTCTCCGCTGGTGGGACGATCAGTCGGCGGAGGAGATGCGCTGGACTCGAGGATTGGCGAGGCAGAGGCAGAGGCATCCTGGTGTAAATGTCATGCCACTGGCAGGACATAACAAAAAAATGCTATACCTTGTTTTCCGAGGCCCTTCCTGAGGGTGGCTCGATCGATGTGGAACGCGACAATGCATTTTCCTGTAACTGATGTCAGCACAAAAATCCGGAGGGATGGAGAGCTGGTTTACTGTTACAGTTGAAGCTTGGCTAAGAGAACTTGTAGGTCGTGCTGGTTCTACTCCTTGAATGGAGGGGCTTATGGGCCGTGAGAGAAGGAAGGAGACCTGCGGTGCAGAGGTCAGACACGATAGCATGAAGAAAAAGATATTATACCGAATGTCGACGGTCCTGGAAGGAAGAGATAGGATTCATTCTCAGCGGGAGCAAGATTGGCGTGCGGTGGATGGGAAAGAACTGAGAGCTCTTAGAGGTCAATTTAAAAATTAAGATAGAACTGCCACTGGATTCGACCCTGGGATCTGAGGTAAAAGGAGAACAAGGACATTTTAATCGAATTTGACGCTATATGCCAGGATTTCGAAAAGAACAAAGGACATCAGACGGTTCCTGCCAATCATCAAATACAGGCGAAGGTTGATCCTGTAACGAATGACGATGCGGGCCTGGGAGTGTGGTCGAGATACTTATAAGGAACTAGAGACGCAGCATGTACATGACATCATAAGGTGAGCCAAGATGTGGCCGATCTGCTATCATTGAAAGAACAAGACTGTCAGAAGAATTGGTGCTGGCAGGACTCGAACTTTAAAATGAAGAAAGTTATTATCGTGCAGGGGAAATGGTGATCCAACTCGGATTCGGCCGGCGCGGCACACGAGACATATCGAAAGGTGTTGTCTTCGGTGCCTGCGGAGGATCCAATACGTGAGGGACCTACAAGTCTAAGCACCGAGGTAACGTCGAACTGTGTATTCTCTGCTACCCGTATCTTCACAGCATTTCGCAGGCTGCCAGGACAGATCTGACCCTTCTTTAACGAAAGTGGCTATGATGATGGCAGACTTGTTTTTTGAATTATAGATTCACTGTGCCACGAACAGAACGCTCCATTCACAAGGATGAAACCAATCGTTCATCTTGTTCGAGCTGGATGATAGGAATGACTCGTCAAACACCTGTCAAACTCAAGCACTCAAGCACTAAGGTCTGGTCGTTTGCCACCTAGAGCGGTATTGACCCTATATAAGGAATCGGTCGTCAGTTAACGGATGCGATTGTCGATATGAAGAAAGTCACGATGAAGCTCAAGCCAGTTATCGCTTGGAGTGGGTTGGGTGAATAGGCTTCCTAGACGCAGCACGCATATGCAGCGGATTGATATACATGGGTGCTGTTTTGACGGGGTCCGCGATGGTACTTGACGCTCAAACCATACTGACCAGATCATTCTATATTGTCCCCGGGTGCCTGAAAGAGCAGGAGCTAGGAATGTCACCTATGTTCTTCATTCAGAACATGGTGTCACCGGTCAATGGGACTATGATAGATATTCGGGCAATAAAATATTTCATATTTTTCACGGGCCCATCGAACACTAGACAAAGTAACAGAAGCAATTAAACTGTATGGAAATGACAGTCAGAAAGACGATCCAAGACAAACCGATGCCAATACGTACCTTATATCGATGGTCGCGAGGACCTCACCAATTTGTATCCTCGCTTTGGCCGCCTGTCCAGAGTCTGCTGCTGCTTTGTCCGCACAAGATGATCTGGGACGTTCTCAACCTCGACCAATTCCTTTACTTTGAGTATCTTCCCAGCAACGATAGGTGAATGTGGATGGTATACGGTCTGCATTCGTCGATGAATACCAAGCGATTCTAGTGTCCCCTTGATTCTGTCGCCAAGGGATATTGCTGAACGTCGAAGAGTGATTTTGAAATGGGTATTAGGTGCGTTCTCTGGTGCTGGCGTCGACGATGATGTTGTTGTAAGTGTCCTGAAAAAGGTCGGGTAGGTTCTGCGACACGTTCTGCTCGTGCTGCTTAACATCCACGACGACATTTCAACTAGCAAGCCAAGTATAAATGCAATAGAACTGAAATACAAGTAAGCACGTACCAAACGACCGACGGAAAGGAAGACAAGCTTTGTTGATCAAGGAGACCAAAACAAAACACTCAGCTTTTTTCACTAGCACCGTCACTGTCGAGTTTACAATGGATTCTTCGGTGCGTATAGGCTACACTTTGCGTACATTTATCCTTACAAAAGCTCAAGACAGGGTTCCAATGTTCTCAACAAATCCATGCAGGGACTTTGGTCAAGTCATAGACGGAGCAAACTCAACCTGAATGCATCTTCGGCGGGAAATTCGCCTTTGCCTACACCTCAGGAAGAGCCGCCAGTGCCTTCAGTAGACGCGGAAGGACAGTCAGCAATTCAGAACGGTGTTGTGGAGGGTGCTGTGGAACCAAAATCCCCCCCGCCGGTTGTGAATGGGAAGCGCAAGGTCAAGTCATCTCGGTCGACGGAGGAGGGCTCTAAGAGGGTTAAGCTGTCGTCCGGAGCCGCGTTTTCCAGTGCAAAGGATTATTCACCGCCTACTGCACGATTGTCGGACCTTGGAGGCGTCGAAGGTTGCATCGAGAAAATGCTTGAGATGGTAGCCATGCCGCTCTGTCACCCGGAAGTTTACCTGCATACAGGCGTGCAACCACCTCGCGGCGTTCTGCTACACGGACCCCCAGGGTGTGGGAAGACTCTTCTAGCGAATGCAATGGCTGGTGTGAGTAACGGACTGCTTTTCAACTTGATGCGAATTTACACTGCTTCAACAGGAACTTGGGGTTCCCTTTATCAGCATATCTGCTCCGTCAATTGTGTCCGGCATGTCTGGGGAGTCAGAGAAGACTTTGCGAGATGCTTTTGAGGAGGCAAAAGTACGCGTTTCTTGGGGGCTTCTTGCAATCAAGCTAAAATTTGTCTCTACAGAGGGTCGCGCCTTGCATTCTTTTCATTGATGAGATCGATGCCATCACTCCAAAACGTGAAAGCGCCCAACGAGAGATGGAGAGACGAATTGTGGCGCAGTTTCTAACATGCATGGATGGTAATAGCGTCACTTTATCTCTCTTCCCCATCTGACTTGCATATAGACATGTCTTGGGAGAAGAACGACAACAAACCAGTGATTGTGATGGGTGCAACCAATAGACCAGACTCGCTTGATGCGGCTCTACGACGAGCTGGTCGCTTTGACCACGAAATTAGTATGGGTGTTCCTGATGACGAAGCTCGAGAAAGGTGAGAAACCGGTCTATTGGTTAAACTCTTTCTCACATTCGTTCAGGATTTTACGTGTCCTATGCGTCAAACTACGGATAGAGGGAGACTTCAACTTTTCCGCGCTCGCCAAAGCTACTCCAGGTTATGTGGGAGCTGATTTGTCGGCGCTTACTGCTACTGCTGGTATCATAGCAGTCAAACGGATATTCAAACAACTTTCAGAAGGTTCACTGCAGTTGCCGTCGGAATTGGATACGTCTATGCAAGTTGATGATCCCCAAGGTGCCGCCCAGGTGCTATCATCTTCATTGCAGCCGGCTCCGACAATAAAGGCTCTAACGTCCACCCTTTCATTTCCCACTTCATCCGCCCATTCCATTGCCCATTTCCTAAACGCCCACCCAGACCCTCTTACGCCCATACAGCTCGCTCCCCTTTGCATTACCTCGGACGACTTCACCGTCGCCCTAACTCAGGTTCAGCCCTCTTCTAAACGAGAAGGTTTTGCCACTGTACCAGATGTCTCGTGGTCGGACATTGGTGCCTTGCATCGTACCCGGGATGAGCTACATATGGCTATCGTTCAGCCTATCAAGCGACCGGAACTGTTTAGTGCTGTTGGTATAGAGGCAGCATGTGGGGTATTACTCTGGGGTCCACCAGGATGTGGGAAAACATTGTTGGCGAAGGCTGTCGCGAATGAATCTCGAGCAAACTTTATCAGCGTCAAGGGTCCTGAACTCTTAAACAAGGTAGCTTTAAGCTTTTCTTCGAATTAGCTTAGCTCATGCCGTTGGTCAGTATGTCGGTGAAAGCGAGAGAGCAATTCGTCAAGTCTTCTCCCGAGCCCGGGCTTCGTCTCCTTGTGTCATCTTCTTTGATGAGCTCGATGCACTCGTTCCTCGGCGTGATGACAGCCTTGTAGGTCATTTTCTCTTGCCATGTTGAATGTCCGCAGTCTGATCATTGCGTCAGTCGGAATCATCAGCTCGTGTCGTGAATACGCTCTTGACAGAGCTCGATGGATTAGATGCCCGGAAAAGTGTTTATGTCATTGCTGCTACCAACCGTCCTGATATGATAGACCCTGCCATGGTTCGGCCAGGACGGCTTGACAAGCTGCTCTACGTGGACCTCCCCAATGGCGATGAGCGTGCCGAGATCGTTCGTACTATGACGCGGAAGGTACCTCTTGCTGGTGAAGCAAGTGAGACACCAGACGCTGTCCGAAATCAAGTGGAGGATTTTGTTCGCGAGCGCTGCGATGGATTTAGCGGCGCCGATCTGGCCGCTTTGGTTCGTGAGGCGGGGGTCACTGCATTGCGCCGAACGCTTGGTGTGTTGGATCATATGGACGATGACACGAGAGGGCCTGGAGAGAGGCCCACGGTTACGGTCCGTATCGCTGACTTTATTGCCGCCTTGGAAAAGGTCGGTCCGAGCGTCAGCCCTCAGCAAAAGAAGAGGTACGAGGCGCTGAAATCTAAATTAGCGGGCTCGCCCGTGAAGATGGTGAAAGACGAGGTGAAAGGCGAGGGGGGTGGGCAAACGTGAATTGCATTTATCCAAGCATGGATTCAAATGATATTCATACACTCTGACGGCTCTGACGGTACACCCAACCACGTTTGGTCTCGTAATGCAGAGAGAATATCGTCAGGCGCTAAAAACGAGTTTAAGATACGGGGTGAGCAGTAAATGTATACACACACCTCAGTCGGGGACAACTGAGGTGAAAGGACTGAGATATACCGCTAATGTATCAAGACAGACAGGAGGTAGGGTACCAGAAAGATAATAAGGAATGTGACGAGTAAGTAAGATATAATGCCAGTGGGTGGTTGCAATGGATGCTCGTTTTCAACATTCCGATACATTCTTTCCTTTCTCACCAACTCCTTTATGGGCAGATGCTCGTTTTCGACATTCTGGTGAATCGGTGCTTTCCCCACCAACTCCTTTATAGTGTCAGTCGGTGGATGCTCATTTTCGACATTCCGATGCATCGGTTTCTTTCTCACCAACTCCTTTACGATTCGTCGTTCTTCCTCGCTGGGCGGATCCATCTCCTTTTCCCAAGGATGCTCATTTTCGGTATTCCGGTGCATCAGTTTCTTTCTCACCAACTCTTTTACGATTCTTTGTTCTTCCTCGCTGGGGGGATATATTTCCTTTCCCCAATAGTCTTCTCCAAGCAGCTTGATATCAACGCCATATTCTTTTCTCAGCTGCTCCTTTAGCTGATCCTCCGAAATGCTAGGTGGCGCGAAGATTTTCAAGTACGCATACATGCTGAGGACGGCGATGGGATCCCCGCTTATCATCGCTGCAAGCCGCATCAGTCGAAATTGAACAATCACAAGATGAGGAGTACCTCGCCGCCGCATAAATGTGAAGAAAACTTTGGCTTCAGAAACAGAAATTGTGAGGACGTGGGCCACCTCAGAAAGCTGTCCCTCTCACCTTCAATATCGGGTATGTCAATGCCTATGTCGTCGAATGGACGTGGCTGCATGTACTAAGGAATCGCAGATTATTGTCAGATCGCAAATGCGTAATTTCACTCTTACGACGTAATCATGTGGTATCGGCTTGGTGATGAAAGAAATTTGGTGCAGGAGGTCTGGGGATCGTTTGAAAGACGGGTCTGGGGGCGGGATGCCACTCTCAAGCTCCGTGTCCTTCGTCTCTGGAATGCTCCCATTGGGCTTCTCTTCATCTATAACGTCTTTTCCGCAGATGGCTTTATGAGGTCTGGGGAATCCATGCTTCCAATCTTTCTTCTGGCATTCCCTACCGAATACCAATTTAGCGTACGACGACTTGGCAATAAGGTACACAAAAACGCACACTGAACAATACCTCACCACTCGACCGACGACTTTGCATCTACTACAGACTTGGAAATGCTCTCGTTCGGCAGACACATCAGCTTCTTTGCGGTTGCAATGACAGCATAGACTTTCATGAGTTACAGCCTCTTTTCGACGAAGATAGTCATTCTGAATCTCCGAAAACTTGAAAAGTTCTCCTTCGGTCTTATAGAGTTCCCTGGCTTGGCGTAAAACGTCTTTGTTGGCCTTGCTATTGTCACGATACAGAGGCTTCCCTACTTGTATCCGCTCTCTATTACCATACTATGCTACTGTTCAGTCATATGCACTTGTTGTCGCCTAAGAAAGGGGACTCACAAATGCGTTAAAGATGCTCCATACGGCCATGGTAATGAAATAGCTTCTATTTAGCCGAAATCTGTCGACGGTGCGTCTGAGCACAGGATCGTTGGTCATTATCAGCTCCTCGAATGTTGGATTTGACAAGAGCAGTGGAGGGCCCAACGTTTCTTTGAGTTGATCGATGGGAAGGAGCATTTTCAGAAGGTGGATGAAGTCTCTGTCATTCGTTCCAGAAAGCCCCGCGACGGTCATTTCGGGACACCATAATCGCCAATTCTCCATACCATTCGGGACGCAGGCAGTCACATATAACCCTTCGAGGACCAATTCTTCACGTCGCTGCTGCGATAACGATCTCCACCTTTCCTCTAAGTTATCGTTGCTCAATCCTGTTACAGCAGCTTGAGCCAAGTCTCGCTGAAGAAGACATATCTCCTTGGTTCGGACGTCTTTTTCCAACTGAACTGATGGAAGGGATTCGGCCGCTTTGAGAAAATGAATGCTCTGGGGAGACATCGTGCTGAACATATTTGGAGGCTTTTGTCCTGGTGGATATCTATCCAAAAGGTCATCTTCCCAACTTTTGTTCCATGCTTTACGATATTTGTCTTTGTCTGGACGAAGTTGGGCCATGGACTCTAACGGCAGTGGCAGTTTGTGGTGCGAGGTTCATGTTGGATTAGCAAGCAGGAGCTCCGTCGTATCCCGCCGGCCAAGCTCGATACCCCTTTATGTCGGGATGGACTATATATATTGAATACGGTCTGTCGAGCACCCTCACCGCGTTTCTGCTTATCGCTACGCTGTGTGAGGGTGAGTATCTACTTATATTACTTCGTTTATGTCACTGATTGGTATTCTGTAGTCTACGTTATAGCTAACAGCATAATCTATTAGGTACAGTGAATACAACACCGCGTTTCTGCTTATCGCTACGCTGTGTGAGGTCTACGTTATAGCTAACAGCATAATCTATTAGGTGCTACAAACGCGCGTCACTTTCTTAGAGTTCAAGCATGGGAACAACGTTTAGAAACAGATAGTCTGGCAACGCGGCATATTGGCCAGGTGTTCACGGGGTGTTACGCGTTACACATAGTTCGTAATTATACGGTACACATGAAAATCTGCTGGCCGAAAGTTTCTCACAGGGAACGGACTAAGAAGAGTATAGATGCACAGAGTAACATCGTTGACTTGCTACAGTGGAAAGTCTAAGAAATGATTATTTTCAGGTTATTATTGTTACTGCATACAGGTCGTTTGGTCAGGTTTACGATCCTACCTCACCTCAGAGAATAGGATCCAGCTTTACGGAGTTTCTTGCATATTCTACCACTTTTACACTCGAGCAATGCAGTGATTCGGTCAAGACTGTGGGTGACAGTGAAGAGGACAACCATCGGCAAGTTCCAGAGAGGAAAGAATGAATAAAATGCAATATTGATAGTGTCAGAAGAGCTCAAGAAGAAGGGGCGAGACTCTGCTTTCCGCACTTTGAACTGCCGCCCTTCACTAAAGACTGCTCTATTGACACGCGTAGAACCTCAAAGATTTTAAAATGTTTATCATCAGCAAAGCATAAGTAAAAGTGGACAGTGTACACTCTAAAATTTAAATAACTAAAAATCTCAAGAGTCAATACTGAGTGCTCTTTACTCATTGACTCGGACAACAAAAGTGACAAGGGTGGGACTTGAACCCACACCACGATACCGTGATGAGAAACCCCTTTCAGGGCAAGATTACTAGGCAATACCTAGTTCTCTTGAGTCACACGCCTTAACCGCTCGGCCACCTTGCCGGCACAATGGTATACATTGCGAGGACTCAGTTCTCAGGTGCCTGAATTAGACAACCCCAAACCAACTGCAGGATACAGAAACTGTAGACTAAAGTATATATGAAGAATATGATGTTTAGGGAGATGGGAGGGAAATTTTATCTACATGATACAATGTACTGTGAGCAGTGAGTACAGAAGTGAGAGAAAGTGTATGTAAGCCTATCTGCAAGCAGTGAGTATAAGAGTGAAGATTTTACTGCTTGCTGGTTTGAATATATAGAAAACTAAACTGAGACATGTACAAAAGCAATATCCATAAAAAGAAGGCAAGGAAAAGAACAAGTACCAAAGATAGAAAAAGTCAAGCTAATGATTATAAGATAAGCTGTATTGATCAGACATTGACTTTAAACAATCTATCACTTGTTCATCAATCAATGCCAAGATCTACTTGAGGGTGAGGTCACAAAGCAGGGACTCTAGCATTGATGAAGTAGATGAGAGAGAGATTTGAGACAATAGTGATATTGTGAGAACTGAGTTCATAGATGCTCAAATTGGATAATTCAAGCCATAGAGAGATGTGGCACCTCAGAGGTTTAGAGGAATGTAAGAGGTATTGCTGAAGTGAGTCCAATAGGGAGAGAAAGAGATGTAGAGGAGATATAAAGGTTCAACTTCAATGTAGAGCTTATATGTGTTGTAATTGGATCTTATAGTTAGAGCAGTCTGCAGTAGTAGCCACAGAGACATCACTGTGATGGAAGCTATATCCAGCAAAGAGAAAGATCATGCTCTGCTTAGCTAAATGATTTATAAATATTTTGAGGTAAAAAAGAAGATGATATTTTTATAGTGACTAGCTACTTATATACTACCTTATAAGTAAACTAGAGTCATTGAGAGTTATTCTTCTGAGTCATTATATACAGTTGACTATCTCACAATGCATGATGTCAAAATGCATAATTCTGACTTTGCATATGGATTGGGCTGGAACACAGTTAGGGAGCAGGAAAATAGGCTGGAAATGCATATTGCATAATGCATATGGTTTTAGTTAGGAATATGCATTGTCAGATCTGAAATTGTAGTAAGCTGATATGATATTATGCATATATTAGAATAATAAAGAACATAATTTGTTTGTATAGACTATAACAAACACAAAAAAAATTATTGTAAAGTGGTACAGCCTATATCTCTATAAACATGCCTCCTGAACCAACATGAAAACCATATGCTAAATCTGAAAATCTATATGAGCATACAAAACAAAAGGAGAAAGTTCCAATGTATACATCATCAGCTCAGCCTCCAAAGCAGATCTTCCACCCACACTTCACAATAGAAGACTGGCTTATAGTATTCAAATATGTTGATAACCATCCTTCCTATCAACATGTTGACATTGTGACACATTTTGCAAACTGAAAGGAAGGTGCACTGCTCTTTACTCAACCAACTCTTTCATAGAAACTAGCATCTTATATAAAAATTGAAGGCATGCAAATGAGAACCCTAATGTACTATCATCTAAAAAGTCTCATATTGTCACCCAACCTGATGTAGAGTGTGCTGTTGCATCCTGGTATCAGAATATGCAGCTCTGAGATGAGACTGTGACTAGTGCAATGCTGATAGAGAAGCAAAATTGAATTGAAAATCTGATGAATATTCCAGAGAATCAGTGTTTGAAAGGAGAGAGATGATTGAGGTCATTCTGTAAGACATGGAAGATTCAGGAGGTTTGGCAGCATGAAGAAGCAGGCTCAGTGGATATGATGGCAGTGGAAAAAGAACATGTGTGCCTTCACAGCATTATGATGAAATATGCAATGCAGGACAGATGGAATATTGATGAATCTGATCTTGTCATCTTTGCTATTCCAGATTGTATCTTGGCATCTGGTCCTATGAGTGGACAGAAACAGGACAAGTTCTGCATCACCATGTGTTTTGCTATGAATGCAGATGGGAGTGAGCAGATGTCAGTTGTTTTCATTGGAAAATCAAAGCAACTACAGTATTTCAAAAAAAAGAGTCCAACAGCAATGAGATTCTATTATCAGAATAACAAGAAGGCCTGGATGACAAGCAAAATATTTACAGAGTGGATGAAGATATTTGATTTAAAGATGAAGAGAGAGATGCAACAGGTTCTGCTGACCTTAGACAACTTTTGAGGGCATTCTATCACTTATACATCCTATAACACAAAGCTGGAGTTCTTTAAGCCCAACATGACTCCATATGTCCAGCCACTAGATGCTGGTATTATCCACTGCTTCAAGACATATTATCAGAATGCCATATATATCTGTGCACTTGATCTCAATGATCTTAGAGAGTCTGAGTTCTTCAAGCTTGATCTCCTTGAAGCTATGACTATTACTCATAATGCTTGAGCAAATGTCAGCAGTGAAATAATAGCAAACTGCTGGAAACACACTGGTATAATGCCTGACAATGCACCTGAGTCACAGTCTACCACACCATCCAATGATTTCTAAAATGTCTCACTCCTCAAGTCTGCATGGAATCTTGTTTGTGACTTTGCCTCAACAGACAAATACATGCTTTCAGAGATCGAATAGGCATTGCAGAATCTGCTTGGAAACCAATATGCTGATGCTGACTGGCATCCTGCTCTTATGGCTGTTATGAATGCAGAGAACAATGTTGGTAAAGCACTGGAGGCAGTCAATCAGTTGGCTTCTTTGTCACAGTCAAAAATGAACACACCTTCCACCCAAATTGCCTCTATTCAACAGCTCCAGACAGCAGAGATAATATTGAAGGACTACCTTGTCAAATTGAAACAACAAAATCACATGTTTGGTCTTATTCCAACCATTGAAGAGATGGTTAACTCTTTTGCAGAAGAGTATACTGAAGATCTTAAGGCAATGCTAACAGATGGGGAGATTGTTATTGCTGTCAAGCATGATATTGCAGTAGAAAATAGAGAAATAACTGTCATTGATGATGATGAGGAGGAAGAGAAGGAAGAGGAGGGTGAGAAAGAACAGACCTTAATAACTACAAGAGAAGGATTTGAGCTTATTTAAAAGCTGAAGGCATTTTATGTTTTACAAGATGACTAGGATGGATTAATACCACAGCTGAGGAAGTTGAGAGGAGCATTATTCAAGGAGATGCATGGAAAGCTGATCCAAAAGCCACTGACAGCATTTTGGGGCAATAATGATGTTGTCACATAAGTCACATGTCACATCACATGCTATTTTGGTTCTGTATAAATCTATAAATGCATATAGTTTTGGTGTCTCCTGACTGTATATATTGTGAGATAGTCAACTGTAGTTATATTACTTTATTGACTCATTCCAACTAGAGAATTACTCATCAGAATCTATCAGACTCTGACTCAGATTAACTATTTAATATATAAGTTGTAAAAAATTCTATACTACTATATTTTAAATATCAACTTGGTTCAGTCCAATAACTCTTTGAACTTCAAGTTAATACTCTCATCTGCAGATCTCTGACTCTATTGGACTCCTCCACCTCTCACTCTCACTCTCTGTAAACCTCCATCTGCAAGTTCTTAGGGCTTTGGCTCAGAGATGATATTGCTAATGGCTTCACCTAAGCTCACACACCTTACACACTCTACTATATGCATCTCCCTCTCTTCTATTGGCATGTTCCTAATAGGATCCACTTTGCAGCCTTATCTTTAATCTCAATAATATGTAGTGTAGCATCCAACCTCTTTTCTTGGGCTTGGCCTGTTAATAAGCAACTCTGCTGCTAGCATATCTGCCTCTATTTTCACACTCTTTTTTAAAATAGAGACAGTCACAGTCACATTCATTATCTAATACAAGCTTCACTGCTCTGATCTCTATAAACTTGACTTATGCTACTATGACAAAGCTGAAAGCAAGACTTTGGAACTTAATAGGATCACTTTCAAGCTCTCTAATGATAACTCATCTCTGAAGGAGTACAAATCTCTCAGCTCTATAATCATGCTGCTATCAACATATTTTTCTATTCTTACTGTATACTGCCAGTCCAAAGGGAATTTAGTCTTTCTCTCAATCCAGCTCTTCTGCTATACTGCCTATCTTATAAAAATCACTTTCAAATATAAATAACATGCAGTTATAGCATATAATATAGTATTCTTCACTCAGCAATATTATGAAATAATCAATGGTGACTACAATAGATAGAGATACATTGATCTGAAACTTTGAGATGAATATCTTTTCTCTTATAAGAAGATCAAGACCTCTTTGTCTGCCTCAAAAAAAGAGCCATGCCTGCAGATTATACTATAACTTCAATATCAGTAAATATATAAGAACTCAGTGTTCTTGGAGTTGACAGTGTATTTATATTACTTGCAGTAAAATAGATTGTAACACTCATACTCATAAAGCTGCTTAGGTCTCTGGAAGAGCAAGTTTTTTTTTACTATGCTCTTATTCAGATCTGAGTCCTGGTGAGGATCTCCTTTGTCAATTGGTTATATTATTCTTATATATTGTTTCTATTCTTAGTATCTTTCATCACAGAAAGCAAACAGTTTTAGGGAGCTCTGCATATTGTCAATACTATTAAGATACTCAATAATAGTAAATGGGCTATCAATTTTTAATGGCTGAAACTGCAAGTCAAACTGTCTTCTGAGTGCTAATATCCAGTCTAAAGCTTTCTGAACTGTGTTATAAGAATGCTCAGACATGAAGATTCTCAGAAAATCATCAAGATAATACTAGATATGAGCAGGAATATATTATTGTAAGATCCAATAAAGAGCTGGCTGTAAAGATACTCAACAAAGATCAAAGCATAAGACAAGATTATAGTAAAACTTGCTAGCCCATGTGAAACCCCAAAGGTGCTAGTCTTCTGAATGGATGAGAATCTGACAGAATGCTTATTCTAAGTCTAATTTGACCATCAACAAACCAGAATCAGATGTCATAAGATCATTAATATCTTTGCAGAACATATTATAAGCAATAGAAGTCTTGAAGTCAGAAATGCCACTATTTACAGATGACTCACATGGCCATAAGAGATGGAGTATGCAGTGGATTTTGCTGTGATACTTGTAAGTGACAGCATCTTGCAGTAAAGTGCAAAAAAATAGTAATAGCAGTTTGTTAAAAGATCTCAGAGTATGACCAGTGGTGACTTAAGCTGCAATATCAGCTATGATAGTTGCAGAATGTTCTGTTGCAGAGCAAAGATTAGAGTACATCTGTGAGCAAGTTATGATTCTTAATATTTGCATTATAATAAGTGATATTTATTATAGTTTATATAAATTCTTAGTCAGAATAATTAAGTAATGACTCCAAGTGGATGCATTAAGAGAGGTGACTGCTGGCAATAAAGAATAGAATATAATTTGAAATATAATTTGAAATAGTAGTATGTCAGTCATGAGATGCAATGAATTAGAAAAAAGAGAAATACTTAGTATTTCTTTATCATATGAAAATCCTGAAGTTGGTTTGTAAGTCAGAGGTCTGCAGCATGCATGTGACAGACTCCAGTGGCAGAGAGAGTTGCATAGTAACCAACATTTTGAGTTTATTGAATGCCTCAAGCATAATAGCTTGACCTTCAGCAAATTCCAGCATGATACATTGATAGTGAAGCATATGCAATTCTGATATATCAGAAAATTTAAGACTATTTTCAGAGTGGAAGAAATCTGAGAAACTAGATTGGGAGGCTTAAGCTTCCAGTAACTATTTTTATCCTATCACTGAGGATCTTGATCTTGGTCAGAGTGAAAATAATTTTTTATTTATGCAATATAATGTGTAAGTATAAGGATGAGGCCTGCTTCTTTCTGGTCTGAATATATAGGAAACTAAACTGAACTGAGACATGCATAAAAACAATATCCATAGAAATAAAGCAAGAAAAAAATAAGTTGATAGTCATAAGATAAGCTATATTCATCAGACATTGACTCTGAACAATCCATCACTTGTTCATCAATCTTAATTGCTTAAGCCATAGGTTTGTAAAATAAAAGTCAACAGTGTGCACTCTTAGAATTTAAATAATTAAAAATCTCAAAAAGTCAATACTGAGTTACTCTTTGTCTCGCACAACGAAAATGACAAGGGTGGGACTTGAACCCACGCCACGATACCGTGATGAGAAACCCCTTACAGGGTAAGATTACTAGGCCAGGCCTAATTCTCTTGAGTCACACGCCTTAACCGCTCGGCCACCTTGCCAGTGAAAGGATATATCACTTTCGCTAACTAGTACTAGTGAGTGTTCTTTTCCTAACGTAATTTGGCGGAAAGCCTCGGAATGTCTTCTAATGGCCGATTAATCAAGTAAGCGAGTTTAAGATGATTAATAACCCGTCTCCTCTCTGATGTGTGCAAATCAATTAGGTACGCGAGGAACTCAACAGCGGTTGCGGAAAGTCTGCTAATGACGCTGCTCAAAATTGAGCAGGCATGGTTTCCCTCCGCTTCGCCTCACATCGTGGGAGCGCCGATTGTTCTATCTTAATCCACCTTGCCGCGTATTTCCGCAGTATGTAATTAATTCAGCCTTTGTGCTTACCATGTCTGGCCGATTCATCGATGATCCATCCGTTTCCATCGCTTTCGACGGCTTGCTAAACTTTATACCACAAAACGTCTTCTGGTTGGGAATTAGGCAGTCTCAACGATATTCCCGTGGCGCTTAAGGGATTACTTGGGTCTGACTTCCATTATTCTACTCCGTGTTTCTCGTAATGAGTCCTTATCCGCTGTGACGTCTTTTGTTTCAAGGTTAAATGGCGATTGGTGGGGGTGCTATCATTACAAAAAATGACAAATCGAATTCACGAGTAAGTGCGCAAAAAATAGAAACCACCGGGATCGGTCGGTGCTGACTCGGGTCATGAGTTGGGCGTATATAAATGTGAACCCCTCCCTAGTCTGTCGTTGTTCTAGCCACCTGGAAGCCACCAGCAGTCATCTCCCCCGTCCCGCCCTGCGAAGTTGAGCTGTTGTCATGCCTGGTTCGTGCGCGTTATTCTTCTGCTATCATGTGTATACTGACATACCGTATAGAAAAGAAAGATGAAGTCGTAAAGTCCCCCTTCAAGGTTTTCGTCACCTCCCCAAGACGCATGCTTTATGCTATCGCGTTTTTCCTCGTCTTTGCTTTGAGTTCGTAGCTCGTCCTTATATTCACTCTTCGTCATACTCAACGTCATTGATCACAATAGCTTCGTCGGAACTTGGTCTCGTTTCGCAGCAGCTTCATAATGGTGGTAACAACTACGCCAACTACCCTGGCATGGAGTACAAGCATGCTCTCGGCTTGCTTCTCTTCAGCTGTGTCTTCACCTACCTATACCTTATTGGACATCTATATGTCTCTGGCGTCGGCCGTACGTTCTTGAGCAACTTTTCTAGCGCAGTTCTAATATCTATTATAGTGATCACCTTCTTCACCTTTGTCGGCGCTGTATTCTGGGGAACCGGCGCAGGTGTTATATTCCAAGTCAGCCCCTTCCGGTCGTACAATTGTGGCAACCCCGCGGACTCGTTCTCGCCAAACTGGGCGCGGTTCGCCAATCAGTGTTCAAGGATCGTGTCTATCCAGGGTATCGCATGGGCGAACTGTGAGTAACGTTGACTCGCCGATGGGCCATGCACTTATGTTGGGACTTTCAGGGGGCCTGTTTGTCTTCCTATTCTTCGGAATGCTTATTCACAAGCTCGAAATCAAGGCTAGGCCTAATGTGACGTTCTACGGGCCGTAGATATTCCTACTCGCGCGAAAGTCCGCGGGAACTCAACATACAACGTTAATGATTCATGTCGCATGACCTTTATCTTACTTCACTCTTGTCACTAGTAGAACAAAATTGTGACCTGCATGACCTTCATCAGCTTTTGGGAAATAAGAAGTTGATAACGAAGACGAAAGGGTGGGTTATTGCGCTGCCGCGTCACTGGCATGTTGTCACCGGAAAACCGAAAAGCCCTTGGGGACCGAGGTTACGCTCGGTAGAACACAAGCACATATTCGTAAAAACAATAAGATCCCGAGCTGATTGACTGTTCCTTCCTTACCTAGTGTACGCTGCAATTAAGCTTACGCGACGCCATTCCTTCGCGTCGGGAGATGTCGGGATGCCGGCGTACAGACAAGCGACAAAAAAGGCAGATGACGCATTCTTCCGGCACTGACTCCCGAAACGCCGGTGCTCTCTCTCTTCTTCAAGTTGAACGAAATTCATCCTTAACATGGCCAGTGCAAAGATCGCGACACTGTTAATCCGAGTAAGTAATGGACCGCATTTCCATTGAATCTTAAACTTATCTTTTCCGCGGAGAGACTATCGCGAAGCCAATAAGTTCCACCCTCAAGGAGCAAGCTAAAAAGTCGTGTTCGTTTTGCCTCATTGGACAGACAGACTTATTCTATGTTTGTAGGCATGACCGTTTTCGAACATTCTGTGTCTCATTGGCCCAAGGAATGTACCGCGCTGAAGTAAGACTGAGGACTGGGCTACTCGGAGAGCCAGTAAAACACATACGTCCACTTTCCGAACAAAAGTGTGTCCTGATTTTTGATTCCTTGCGCGTCTGACCCTATGTACAGAGCTATAGACAATGGGGCAAACGCATTAGCAGAAGGATTCCTATTCGGTGTAGCGGCACTCCTAATCATAGGAGAAACATGGCGGTCATCGCGAAGTCAATCGAAACGTAGAGACGACGTGGACGACAAGTTGGACGACCTGGGGACGCAAGTGGCAGAACTGAAAACACGGATGAACGTGCTCACAGATCTGCTCGAGCAGAGGGACTTGGAGCAACAGCTGAGGTGCGTTGCGTGCTATTTCGGTAACCCCTTACGTGGCTTTTACCATCTGCCATCTGTACAGGAATGACGAGCTCACGCGAATATTGGAGCGTGTAGTCGAAATTGGGCTTCGAGGTGGATGGGCAGAATTTGAGGATACGCCTCTTCAGTTTCCTCGTATATCTCTTGCGCCGCCAACTGCTTCTTCGGTCTCTCATTCCCCTCTTTCCCCAGACGATACCCGAATAGATGTGAATACCCCAGACAAAGACTCGAAGTCCTCGGACGATAAATCCCCCTCTTCATAATGCTCACATACTGTATAACAATCTAATGCTGCTCCTTCAATGACCCGGACTGGGGTCAAAACATGTATAAAAGGCAAAGCAAAAATTAAGATACTACTCAAATGCTAAGATCTAAGAGTTTATATATAGAGAGTTTAGAGAACCTGCCTAAGGAAGCTTGTGAAAGGCTTGTTTACGCCTGCTTAAACTTTGGGGACAACCTCCGAGCCGCGGGCCAGCCGCTTGATAGTGGCTGTACTTAGTGTATCGGAAACTCTTCAGTGCGCCGTTTTACACCATCCTCTTTGACTGTGCGTTCACGACACAAAAATCATTTTAGAAGACACTGGTAGGTCTCGTGAAACTCCCCCCCCCCCTTCCCTTTTCTTTTTCTCTCTTTTTTTTCTTTTTAATTTATTTCCAAACCCATCAGTAGCGCGCCCGCTTTCCTGGGTTTCTCCGGTACCGATAGCTATCTTGTATCTTTTAGTAAAAATAGGGAGGCCGGAGGTCTTGCCGAGCCTCATTGAAAAGTGGAGCGGTCTTAAAGAAAAATATAACTGGCGACGCAAATGAATTGGAATGATAGGCTCTCGACAGAGTCGTCTGATGGGTGCTGCAGAGGGGATGAGGATATACCATTCAAGAACTCGTTATTTATACAAACTGACAGGTTAAGTGGCATCGAGACAGATACTAACCAGAAAAGAAAAAGTCCGTACGGCGGTATACAGTATGTGTGAATATATCAGAAAGTAGGCGGACGTCGGGAAGTGGGAGCGGGACATATGTATCTCCCCCCCCCAGTCTCGAATACAACGCTAAGCGCCAACAGGCCAATCCACCGAACCGGCACTGGGATCCTCCTGCCAAATCGTGCCATACTTGGATCGCACAATCTTTTCTCGCCCGGTCGCAATCCACGAATCATCAGAGCCGGTGTTCCACAATGCAACCTGCTTTCCATCCGCACTCATAACCACCAGAGACACCGTACTTGCACCTAAGAGGCCGGCGATGCCGGAGGCGCTGAGATAGATAGACAAAAAACCCTCGCTGTCGACGTTCTTATGGTCACCGTTGCCAATGGAGACAGCTACTTTCTTGAAGGCGTCAGCCATGGCCAAGGCAGCCTCAGCTGAGCGACTCCCCACGCTGAACGACCCGCTGAGCAGTTTAGCGGCGATCTTGAGGAATTCGTAGAGATCTCGGAAAGTGTTGAGTGCTGCGGGTAGCTCTGCTGCCGTGGCGACGGCTTTGATTTCTTCGACACCAACAAGGAGCAGGGCGATGTCGGTGATGAAGTCGACGATGGCCCAGTCGGGGTTGAGAGATGCCATGACGTAGATTTCATGCCCGCTGTTATTGGCCATATATATATATTGTGATAAGGACATGATTTCTAGATCTAGATACGTATGAGCTTTAGACTTGGCGCTGTTGGGGGAGATTCTTGCTGTGCTCACCTGGATTGGCTGTGCGGAGGGAACCAGGAAACTCGAGTGGGTAACGAGGGAGATGAGCTAGTCTCTCTTATAAGTGCTGCGTCTTGTCATAAGCCGACATTTTATGATAGAACAACAACACACTGCAATATGAAGTACGCAAGTTAGTATAGCATGGCAGAGAGTATGTTACGATCCATAAGAAACCAGATGAGGAAAACAACCCCAGTTTCCTGAGGCAGGAGGAACTACACAATCGATTGTTGATTACGGGTAAGCGTGTATCCGTTGGCTGATCCTGAAAGGCGATCTGCTGGGTAAAACGAAAAAATCACCAACCCCATGACTGAATACTTCATGTCGTCGCTGACATTCGCAATGCTGAGAGTAAGACCATTCAATGGCTGAAAATAGTTGACGTATAGGCTTGAAAGCGTAGGAAGGACCCATAATTGCGTCCGATAACCAGATTGAGGACAAGCCAACATCTGGAAGGGGTTTGCAGTACCGAACATGGAGCACGAGAAAAATCGGATTTATTCTCAATTGTGAGGGGGCTTGGTACGAGCAAGCAGTCGAGTCATCATATTCTATTTCCGGCCTGCCAGAAGCTTTCAGTAACTCGATTCTAACCTTGCGATCTGTTTAGAAGAGACCCACCTCTCAGCTCAGCATATTTTGCAAACATCGGCATGTTTCAATAAGCTATTCTTGTTGGGACATCTGACCGTCTTCATTGGGCAACTCGCTAGTCACGCACGCACGGTGAACCCTCTCGATATCAGCTCCTTATGCATATTGATGATTCATTGAGAACAGAAAATCAAATCAAGAAAGTTCGGACAACTAACAAGCCGTGTACTCCCACTGGTAGCGAGAAGGATTTTTCCCACATATTGGACTGAGGGAAGAGCATGACCAGTTCGGCGCTGTTAATCTTCCTTGTTCAAACAAAGTGGAAACTTCTCCAACAACGAGGAGGATCTGGAGGACAAGAAAGGAGGGTCTTGACAGCTAACTTGGAAGATATCGGCAGCTATATGGTCTTTCTCATCTATACATTGTCAAATGTCTTTGGTGAAGATTCGACAAAGTTGCATCACTTACCACCAACTGATCTTCGAATCTTCTTGAGGACCCAACATGATACCTGGCGTCGTTGTATTGAAGAAACTAAATCCGTGATATTCTATCACTACGCCTTCATCAATGTGTGGGGAAGGTCTCGGGGGAAAGAAACACCGTACATCCAAGCAAGTCCGTGGGAACCCAGAACTCGAAGATGACGTCCATCTACGTCCTCGCTTCACAGAAGAGAACACGAAGCATGAGACACCGTATTCGAGCTGATCTGACTTCATACTTTAGCCTTTCACGTATACCTTCAGAATTCGCGAAACGAGATGACGTTAGTTCAATCTACTCCAAGTATGGTGGAGGTAAGAGGGAGAGGTGCACGACACGGCTAGATCACGGAAGTATCTAAGAGCCGAGAAGCGGGAGCTGATATCGCAAGTATTGGAGGCGAGAGTACTAAAGATGGGATGAAGTGTTAAGGAAATATGATTAATATGTTGGTGAAGATGATCTTGAGTCTGCCGAGGTCCGCCGAGAAAATTACCTAATTAGATCTGCAAAACCCGCTACGTTAACAGCACGAGTGGTCTATTCAAAACTATCTCATTTGCATCACTGCTTATTGAATATTTTACCTTCTTTGACACTAATCAAATGAGTGTGGCTCTCGGTAAGTGACGCTGTTGGAACAGATTTCCTTCTGAACTCATGCGATATCACGGTGTGGAGAACACCCGGTTTGTATTCCAGCAAAAGGAAGCAGATATGAACTCTGATACATGACTTGTCGTTTAATGGCTTCATTGGCGTTGACTAGGGAGAAGAAACTGCTATACCAAATATTCACAAATTTTGGAGGTCCGGTAACACCACTCTTTGGTCTTTAACTTGATCGGACCCATTAGTGGATGGACCTGTACTCCTGACAGAACATCATGAGGGATATTCAAACGGAAATGAAGGGACACGCACTGATAGATTCTTGACGGTCAAGACCAACGACAGCTTAAGCTAAGACGCCTAGCCAGCCTTTCTCTTCATACTGACCCCCGTGCCGAAATGGTATAACCTTGTTAGGTTGTACTGTCTTGCATCCGCCGTCGAGTTATCTCTCGCTTGACGAACTGACCACCTCAGGCAACCCTTTAGCCAACAGAGCCCGAAAGTACCATCGACTAGAACCCATACGTCACCATTCTACCTGTCTTCGTCTTGATATTCTGATGTTGCCTTGAGGTGGATTTCGAAGTTCCGCAAACTCAGGAATACCGGATTCCGCTCTGAGTTGTTTTAATAGCGCCGGTCTTCCCATTCTTCGATTTCTTTCATTTACAAGCATACGCTCGATCTGGTGGGTTGAGTTTCTCAATATCTTCTTCCATTCCATTCCATTTCACTATCCTTGTTTCAACGTCTGGGACAACGACGTCTGTTGCCTGCAAAATCCAGGACCACTGTCTTTTAGCTTTTTGGTGCAACATCTGTCTGTTTAATACGATTCCTAATCAAATGCATCGTAGTGACCAGTGCGCTTTTTGTCGAGTGCTCATACATACAAGATCCCGCCTGGATCACCCGCATTGCGGTCTACGGTTCCAGTAACTGTCGTTTTGGATGCATGGTTTGCCGCTGTACTCACGATGATTATTTCCACACAGCATCAATTTGCGTTTTAACGGCTTCGTATCGTTCACTTGCTGCGAAATCGAATAAAGGTTCGTTGTGTTCATGGCTCTGACGGTCACAGTTTAGAGCTCATAGTTGCCTATATGCCTGACTTTTTTGTATATGTTACAATCATTAACAAGACCAACAAACTCCTGCGAAAGGACAGTGCTCATGCTGATCATGGGGAATGGATCAATGTCCCGACCAAAATTCAACCACATACGACGTCCACACGGTTTCAGATTAAAGACTCCTTTGGCTTGGGGGCCATCAGCGCTCGATTACGAGTCCAAAGTTGCAGCGGTTGACTCGACGTCCTCGCCGTGGAATAGATACGTAACCGGAGATGTTTTTAGAGACTTCAACAAGATATACAATACCGTCGATGGTGTGTCCGTTCTCTATAGGCTGCACAAATTTTTTCTGACATTGCTTTTTTGATACAGGTGCCGCAGCCTTTGGAGTGCACTCTCAGGGCGGAGAATTCCTTGAATCATTCTATCTCGCTGCAGACCAATCAGGAAACCCAGGGACGCTCTTTCGATACGTTAACTGTGTGTGCTATGCTTGAGTTAAGTTGCAGTCTTTACACTGGTGACGGTGCAACAAGTTTGCTGCTGCAGGCCCCGTTCGGGTATATAAATGACACATATCTAGTTGGAGTCGCCGACCAGTATAATAACCCTATCCTTGTCAACAACCCGTTCTTTGGTACCGACCGGTCACTCAGCCATCTTGGTATCAACAACGCCTTACGAAGGCCTTTCTCCTGCCAAGTGTACAATGACCACTCGAGACCTTTTGTTCTGGCCAGTGACGGCATATACGATGGCCTGTGGTGGTCCGCATCTGGGCAATGAAGATGCCGCCGGCTACTTGGCCAGCAGTATCGATACCCTGACGATTCTATACATAAACAGCCAGCCTGGTAACATTCACAACATCGCCATTTACCCCGGCGTTACAAGTATAGATAGATTTTACTCTGCATCTCCGATGGCTTTGGAGCGCCATACCGAGAGTGCTAGCAAGGCGGTTTCGACCCTCCTCAATTTGTCGACCATTGAGACCCCTGGCGCGGTATCGTATATCAACTGGGCGCATGCTCCAGAGTGGATCAGTAATGTGCTGGACGGTCACTGGGACGTGAAGTTTGGGCGAGTCAGTGCGGGTGACTCGACCGCCTCGCGACCGTCCTCACCAGCACAGACCGTAGTCTCGAGGAGCTGTGGGCTCGCGGAACACTCGAAGAGTTTGGCCAGTATTCCCTGCAGTATGCGAATGACGTCGCTGCTGGTCGTGTTGTCATCGTTGCTGACAATGTCCTTGTGGACATCAACGGGATGTCGTCAAGTACAGCTTTGGAGAACTATGCTCGCAAGCTCCTGGGGCATACGATTCACAGGAACCGCCCTCCTTTGGCTATGCCTGTTATCAGATATGGTCCGGTGAGGACTACAGGAAATCACGAAACGACGCTGCTCGATGACAGCACGGGCAGAAAACCATTGTTCAGGGAGTCGATACGCGATTTTTGCTCTACTTTGAGCTCAACAAAAACATTGCCGCTGCCGCTGCCAGTCCTGAAGGAACTGGCATTCTTTTTGACAACTATGTTCTTAAGGAGGGTCTAGAAGCGTCCACCGCGCATTCTAACTTGAGTTTCGATGTTCTACTAGCACCATGTACGATTTGGGTGAAGCGAATGCAGCTTTCCCTTCAGATGATTGTCAAGGCTGCAATCCCTTGGGAGAAGAATTTTGTCGAGCCTCGGTGCGCATTCGGCCTAGCATGACGCCCGTCATCAAGTCTGTTGCTATATGAATGGTAGGCTAAACCAGCAAGGAATACAAAACACACAAATTGCGCTTACGAATCAGTCTTGAGTGGAGATCTCAAAGATGATTAGATGAAGAGCGTCCATAACTTCTGCAGTTGTTAGTATTCCTTCCCTTCTTTGTTGTCCTAAATGCCTCTGTGCATGTTAACTTTACCCGTGGTCGAATTTGGGATTAGATTAGAAGCCACCGGGAAGAGACCTCAGTACACTTTTTGTTCTTGCGGATATTTCTGCCTCTGTCTCTTCGCACATAGCCCAGTTTATACAAATCCCGAATCCCCTTTTTTATAGCAGTAACATATTGTGTTAACTTCTAGGGATACCGGAAAAGAAAAAATGAATTAGAATAACAATATGACAGGTAGAAGTAACTCTACAAGTAGGGTAGCCAGTATTAATATCAAGTACAATGTCCCATGAAATTGGACAGAAATGCAATAGAAATGAAAGAAGACATCACATTATGCAACAGCGTTCTTGGAAAGGACATATATTATGCACCCAAGACCATGAACACTCCTTGCCGGTCACATCGCGCGTCGATATCGGACCTCCCGTCCTGCGAATCTCGATGACATACTCCTTATCTTCCTCCCCCTCCTGCGGTACATCATACCACCACCGGAGGAGTTGGTTTTCAACGGCCCACCGCCCCGCACTCACCGTCACCTCGATATCCACAAGGTTCTTCTCCGACAGAATATGTAACAAATCCTCTCCCCCAGTCAGGGTGTGACTCGATCGTGAATCTGTCAAATTCAATGCAGACGGAACACGAGACACGGATTCGCTCGTGTCCATCGTACGATCCAAGCCGTCATCACTAAGCAGCCGAGAGTGTGCGTAATGCACTAGAGGAACGAAAATCTCCGTAGCCGGTGACTCTTCGTCCACACCACCAGGTTTGAGCTTGTCTTCGGCGCGCACGGTCACGACGAACTTGAAATATGCTTTTCGTAGATCGAACGCGATGTCCTTGGGCCGGCCAATGACTTTGTGGGGCCAGGGTCTGTTGAACGCCCGGTCTGCCCTGGCTCCATCGGTCAGGAACTTGTAGGGACTATCCCGCCAACGCATCATGTATAATTCTTGTCGTTGCTGCGCTCTCAGCTCGTCATAATTCGTACCATCGCCCATCCCTAGCGTAGCCAAGGAGAACGTCGATGCAGCCCAAGCCGCTCGAATGTCGAAGCCTTCCGACGCCTTCCGTTTCAGTAAACCGGCCTGTGACTCCGTACCTTTCAAGGGGTACTCGCAGTAGTCGTCCTCCTCCTTCCCCCTCCGCACACCCAGATCATCTGAGCTCCACAGACTCAGGTCCTCCATATTCCACCCATCGCCCCAGTCGTGGCAGCTGTCGGGACAATACGTCCACACTGTCCAATTCAACGCATTAGGGCCATCAGCTCCATTGAGACTAGCGTCAAGGGCCCGTTCCTGCCGACTGTAATCGCCCTTGTGCTGCCCGTGATCCGTCCAACCGTAACTCCGCTTGTTGTCCATGTCGAAGGGAGTACCTATCTCACCAAGAACGGTTGGATACGGGCCTAGGATAAGCGCATCTACTTTGTACACAGAGAGTTGTTCCTGCAACGACTTCCGTATAGCGGTCTCACCAAACTTCACGGCCTGCAATGGGGAGGAATATTTTCCCCTCAATACTCCCAGAGCATCGGCATTAAACCAATTCCAGTGTCGTGTTATAAGGGTAAGCCCGTCGTAGTAGTGGGGGGAGTACGCGGCACGGCCTTTGAGCACGCTCTCTTCGATGGGTGGCGGCGGTGCGAATACGGGCGGCTGCGCGAACATGATCGATTCCGGATGCGACTCCCTGATACGAGACGTGAAGGCTTCGAAATGAGGCTGCCAGTAATCAGCAATAAACTCGACTTCGACCGGCTGCGCATCTGCACACCGCGAGGAAGGGACATATCGAAAGTAGTCGGGAAGAAGGATGTATCCTGACTGTATGTCCCATACTCCGTGCTGCGCCCAGATGCATGTGCCGAGCTGCCAGTCTTTGTGCCGTCGCCAGCCCCACTTTGGATGGATACCTTCTTCGGTTTCGGTTTCTGCATCCGACCACATTTTGTATCCCTTGGGATCAATCGTAACACTTCCATTCCGTGAAGGACCAAAGGCACCAAAGGACCAGTTATCTACAATTTGCGCCTGTCCCATACCAAGACGGAGAGACTGTGCTGGAGAGGGATGAGTACCTTTACGGAGGGTAGATCCCTGTTGCGTAGGGGATATATTAAGGTTCTCCCAGCCACACAGGCCTTCGAAAGGCTCGTTCATGCTGTCCCAGCCAATAACGCATTCGTCCAGTAGGTCACCCGCATCCCTTATGCGGTCGGCCATCTGGCCCATGGCCTCGGTATAGTGATCCTGCAGATAGTCCTGAATATTTTGGTCATCGATAATGCAGTTGGGCGCAAAGTCACGGCCAGCGAAGAATAAGGTGAATATTGTTTGTGATGCTAGACGGCCGTAGTTGGTGGACCATAGCATGGCAGGTATCGAGGCAGGATCGGGGTCATACGACGAAGGATATTCCGCATGAATAATAGCAGCCTGGGTCGCAGTGAAGTGCCTTGGCTCGATGCCACATGCTGCAAGGGTCCAAATGGGAGCACCTGAGCCGCCCGAAAAGCGTGACCACTGGTACCCGTGAGCAAGATGGTCGAATCTAGAATAGGATACTCACGATATCCTGGTGTGGATCCATGTACACTTTGAATCCGTAATCTTTGCACTTTCGTAGCACTCGCACCGTGTATTCCATGAATCCGTAGTCGTAGATGCCCCTAGGATGCAAAGGTGACGCGTAGTCCCGAGGACGACAGTGAAAGGCATACTTACGGCCCCTCGTGCTCCAGCGCCTCCCATGTTACAGGGAAACGTAGCATATTGAAGCCCCAGCCCTTGAGCCGAGCCAAATGAACATCCGCAGACCCGTCATCAATGTTCAGCGGTCGTCCTATGAAACTCTCGCCTCCTTCCTCTGCTGCGTCCCACAGCCCCTCGAGGACATAGGATGGCTTGCCCACGGGTGCCTTTGAGGAGCCTGAAAGATTGACTCCTCGGAGTAGTAATGTTCGACCCGCATTGTCAACGAAATTGCAATCAGTAGTATGAATATATGATGACGAGGTGAGTTGACCAGTTGCAGGAGATATTGAGGGGACTCTAGGCATTTTTCTATGAAGATAACGAGGAAACGGAGTCGGCTCGTCGTTGTCGACGCTGACGGTGAAAGGGGAAAGGGAAAGATGGGTGAATATAATGACGCTGCAAGATCAAGTCGTACCACAGGGTAAATCCTAATGGGGATATTCCAAATAGGGAAATCAGGGCTATGTTCGGCAAATCCGCTCTTCATCCTTCTCGACGACGCCTCGACGCTGGCCTAGTATGGATTCTTCAACAAGTCATCACAGATAACCTGCTAATCTCTCCCCCTTCCCCTGCGCCCTCGTGCTTGTATATTTTTTTTTGCTGGGCAACCTAGTAAGATCGTGCCGCGGCTGGTCTGATATCAAAGGTTTAAAATGTTACGCTATATTGTCGCTCGCTGATATTTCACAAGCACTCATGTCCGATAGAAGAGTTCCTGTTGATTAGCCTCGAGTTCTTCTTTGCCAGTACATATCCTAGTCTTTCTTCGTCGTCGCGGAATATCATTTCAATTCGAATTCCGTTGTCGGCTTCATGGGCAGATCCAACTATCCATCGTGATCTAAGTATTAGTTCACTCCGAATCGGACAGTCAGGCGGTGCACAAATTCCTGGTCGAAGAGAAAATATAGTACAGTTGTTCACCAGACCAGCTGAATGTGCAAAAAGTATAGATGAAACAGAAGTCCAAACTTCTTCTGGAGGGCTTTGCCACTCCTCCCGTCCCTCTATGTCATCTAGGGGGAAGCTGTTGTGGCCTAGGCTTTACATCTTCGAGACCGTCTAATCATGTAAATGGCATTGACATTTCCGACTACCGCCTTGGTGGTTGGCTAAGATAAGCCTCAGGCTGTACACACCGGGCTGAAAGCATGAAACATTGCTTATGTATAGTTTACTGATATTAACAGGATGATGGAAAAGAACTCACCGTCTTAAATTGCAAAAAATGGATTCCAGCTAGTCTCTGATACGCCCTGAGGCGGCTTTTTAATACTGGCGGTGATTGCCATTTTAGGTGTGGGGAAATTTGCCGTAGGCTTCAACTTAATTTGCCACCGGCTTTGTGCCCATACAGGCTCTCTTCTGCTCTCCAACTTTCAGTTGGTCTACCTCCTGCTCTGTCAGTATCCGCTGCTCAAGATGATGATATTGAAAAACTAAATCAAGAACAGCCATTAACAAAGCTATTACAAAGCACACACCGCTTTGTAACTTCGGTCCAAAGTTGCCGTGGTGACTAATTGATTTCCTCAGTTTCTCAACTTTCAAGAAAAAAATAGTACCGAAGTATCCGCGATTTACCACCTTGACCGAAACGCGCCGTGGAGAAGGTTTGACCGCAGTTATCACGGTAAACCGTAAGCGACGTCCAACCTGCGGCTGACATCTCTTCCGTCAGTTCTGCTTTGGTTAGATGAATACGACGGCGATACGTCGGGATTCATGCTCAAACATTCAGAACATGTGAACAGTGTTCACCGAGAAGCAATCAGGTCCTCTTATTGGACAGTAGTGCTCGCTGATGATCTAATTCTTGATGTCTTCCTAATTAATGGTCTTGACGTTCCGAATAACTACTAAGCATCTCCAGTATGACTTCCTCTGGCCCCGTGGTATCTGCTTCTGTGAAAGATGCACCCTTAGTGCTTGGGATGCTCTTTGCAAACACGAATACTGTTCGACAGTGAAGGCGGGACGACTCCTCTAGTTTTATCGACTATTCCGTCGTCCTAGTCTTTGAATGCTTAAGGACGAGAAGTCTCATATCAGGATACATTCCGCACTGATCATCCTCAACTACGTCCTGGTCGTGACATGGGTGATTTTTACCACCCTACGTGGATGTCGGCTAACTCGGCTTTTCTAGACGACGATCTCGCCACCCGAGATCCCCGCCAGTAACAGGTCCACCTGGGCAGCTAATCCTGATATTACCTTTAGATGATCTACCTCATTGCGCTCGGCGGAGATCCCGAGGAAAACCACCTCCAGCTGGAATAATTCCCATTTCCTATCTCTGCAATTACCATCCGTTCTGCAGAAAGACGCTTTAACTCCCAAAGTTTATACGCCAGTAAGGGTGCAAGCATGACCACCAAATAGCGAATTGCAAAAAATTACAACTCAAACGAGCACGGCGACGGAACAACTTCGCGCCAAGAAGAGAGTCAAAAGGGATAGAACATACGACCGGATAACGCGCGCCGCACTTATAGTAATGCAGCACTGCGGCGAATTTCAAGTTGTCTTGGGGAAGATCCTCCCCAGGCTGACTTTGGGTCTGTGGACAGTGCGAGGCCTGTATTGCCCGACCGATGGGGCTTGAATGCAGCGAGCCACGGGTCTGCAATTCTTAGCCGTTTAATGATCGGTACGGCTCATGATACTTCTTAGTTGGGCATCGAAACAATGGACCACGGAGGCAAGAAAGTGCCGATGCGCAAATCCCTTCAGAGTGGCCTTGATACGATAGAATTTGCCTCTCGGGATATCTACTCTGAATGTCAAGGTGTAAACTTGGTTTAGGTTCTAAAAAGGGATGAGATTATTTTAGGGGGAGCAGAACCCATCGTCAAACTAGGATCCGATGGGACGGAGGGTCAAAATATTCACCTTCGCTATGTAAGACATCGTCCTTCGTTTGTTTAAGTCGTAGTTGACAGTTTGACAGGGCGATAGCAAGCGAGTATTTACCCTGAGCTGTTCTCATGCCCGACTCACGCTTCACGGACTGGCATTCTTGGCCGCTACGGTGGTTTACAGAGGCCTTGCGGGTGCGAATATACAGGTGATTTGCATTTGAGTCTGTTTAATGGCATCTCGTCATCTCCTCCACAGGACCCATCGGCCGACTCGGCCGAGAGATAAGGAACACCAGGCTATTGGGTCTGTGTAGGACAAGTGCGGCTACTTGGACGGCTGAGGTTGCGTCTGTAATTTGAATAGGTTACTAGTCGTTGTTCACCCCGGGTGTGACCACGCAACACGTAGTCTGGCAGTATCGGAACTCCGTTACCATCCCTGGAGAGCACCCACATGTCATCCTTGTTCCATATACATTGCCGAGCCAGACAGGCAGGCCACTCTGCAGCACGCAGCATGGAGTTCCAGATACCGGAGGAATGGTAAAGTTCTTGGGATCATGACGAATTAGTGGACTCAATCCCACGTCGGGCACCTGCAATGAACACGAGCTGTGGTACAGACGTCGCCACCCAGTAGCGATTGGAGTCCTCGTTTCCCTAAGAGACAATCTCAATATTGATCGATCCTGGAAGTTGAGAATGAACGATGCGTTCGAGCCACAACCGCGATATATCAAAGCGGTTATGCATCTTTGGTGCGAGGGTGAGGACGTTGCTCAAACGATGTACGCCACCCCCATTGAGCTCGTGGAAGAGACCGCTTGAGAACTGCCTAGGCACTGGCGGCATAGTTAGAAACATGTCAAATGGACGAAAACTTCCTTGAACCGATTCTGTACCCTTTTTTTTCCAGAAACGGGCCCAGTGGTATGGAGATTAGTCGAGTCGGCGATAGTGTGAGCGCACTGGCAGTCATCCCATTCAAGCTGATCGCCGCTTTCTTTGGTAGCCTTTTCGTGGAGCTCGTGATTCTTTGGATGCTATCGTCGGCCCATACTTTCGTTACAACACAACGGTAGCCATCGCGAGCCAGAGTCTGCCATATTCTCAGATTTCGTAGGTGTAGCACGTTGGCCCTTGGCTGGCGGTGCTCGGGAGAGGGCTTCAGGTTCCCAGGAGGCGTGTGACGAAGAGCAGGGGGTCCGACTACGGTTCATTGTCGATTAGTTTACAACACTGAATTCAAGGCATAGCTTACAAGTGGAACTCCTCCAACTCCGCTATATCCTTATCGATACCCCCGGTATTATTGCACGACTTGACAGCAGTAGACATCTCCGCTACCGCAGATGGCGTAGGCGGACCGTACCCGATGGGATGTCAGTCGTCTCCCAAATGGCGGCCATCGACGCATTGTTATTGGTCGAGTCTGGTGGTTAAGATAGAAAGCTTATATAATCACTTACGCGTTAATCTCTGATGAAAGAAGTGTACAGTCAAAATCCATGAATGAGATAAATCCCATTGAAAAAACAATTCGCGGTAGCTAAATGAAGGAAGTACTAGGACAACAACATTCTAAGATTGTTCTGAGCGAATCTCTCAGGCGTCAACATTAGACAAGAAATCAATGAGGATCTTAAAGTAGCTGATATCGCAATGAGCCAAGCGCACGGGATGGTGTGGAGGCGAGCAAGCTTACTTATCTGGTTCCTCATACATCGGTACGTGCGTACTATTCTGCAATTCGACCCATTTACATTTTGGAATATTCAGGAAGAACGGCCGGACGGCCGGCTCCCACATATCATCCTCCGGCGCGCTAATGAGAAGCGTCGGACAAGCAACATTGTGCAGGACGTCAATGACACTCCAATCCTTCAGCCTCTTGTTCATAGCAAACTCGGGATGCCCTGCATACTCAGCCGGCTACGCTACATTACCTGCTGGAACACTCACTGTTGCCTTCGGCATTCCCTATCGATTGGAGGAGTTTTTCCGGCAAGGGAGCCAATGTGCAGAGGTGCGTGTTCCGATAAACGACCAGCGCGTCTTTATATTCCTGAGAATCTGTGGTTCCTTCAGCCTGGTGCTTTTTGATCACCTCGCCGAGCCCATCGGGAAGATGATCTCTCCAATACTCTCCGCCTTGAAGGTAGAGCTTGGACGAACAGAATGTATTGGTAAGGATCAGACGCTTTAATCCTGGGTGCATACGGTTCGAAGCGTAGTCGCTACCAAAGATGCCTGTAGAGCGTGCTATCAGTATGCTTCTAATTCAAAGGTCCATTTCACTACGCACCTCCCCATGAATGCCCGAGAAGGTCGAAGTTGTCTCTGATCCCGAGATACTCGAGCAGGTTATCAAGTTCGTCCTTGAAAAGATCGACGGTCCAGAACTCGGCTGGTGAGTCGGGGTACTGGCGAAGACCAATTTGGTTGTAGAATACAACCGGTATGCTGATTTTCGCGACCATTAATTCAAAGCGACCATCAAGAAATCGAAGGAACGTACTCAGCGTCTGTAAAGAGTCTTTCGTGTGGTCTGAAAGATATCAGTCTATCTGTAGTCAGCGGGCAAAAGGTAAGTTTGGCCTACGTCATACTGTTCAATGGTAAGTTAATTCAGACGCCGCAGATGTAGTACATGAACGAGAAAGTACTCACTACACATGATTGAATCCTGGACCCCCATGCAACATAACTATCGGCCTTTTATCGCTAGTCTTCAAATCACCCAAGATTTTGTACCATGTCTGAAATGTGCGATCTCCAACTACGAAATCGACAGTTCCCGTTTTCGTTGGTTGAATGATTTCGGCCATCGTGTAAGGGACAGGTGTCTTGCCTGTTTCTCTTTATATAGAAGATTCAGTTATGCAAACCACGAGGAACTTGTCTTCCAACAGATCGCGGTTCAATCAGACTTCCAGCCGCCGAGTCATCATTTTGAGAACCTGGATGCTGCTTCAGCCGATTACGTGTTGTTGGGATTTTGCTGGAAAGTTCTAGAAAGGCAATCCGGCATCATGCCGAGAGTTGATGAGTAAGCCTGAGAGAAAGAGAAAGTTGTAGTAAATTCTAGACACAAGCCTGGAGAGTATAAATATGAGCTCTGTAGGAGCTGCAGAATAAGAAGTTCATTCTTTCTGGCCTTACCAGCCTGGAGTCTACCCTGTGCATCACTGAGTGTTGTAAGTAGAGAGCAGAGTAATGTACAGAGGATTAGAATTAGCCTCTTGAGAGAGAGATGTTCTACTTAAATACATTTTGTATTACTTCAAGATCTTTCTATGAGATACTAAATAAGTCCGGATCATGATCCAAGTCAGCTGCCACTGACTGGCATCATATCTTTGAGTATGTTCTTGTACTTGCTCAGGATTGCTATTCCAACACTCCCCCTCAATTCTGAGTTCCTAGAATACCTGCAGATAGATACTCATGTAATGGTTTTGGTAGGCCTTTAGTGAATATATCTGCTAAGTTCTCCTCTGATGCACAGTGCTGAACTTTGACTTTGTTTGAAGCCATGCACTCACAAATGAAGTGGTGTCATATGTCTATATGCCTTGATCATGCATGGAATATGGGGTTTTTAGTGAATTTGATTGCTGATTGATTGTCAACAAAAATAGTCATCGCTTCATAAGGTGGCAATCCTAATTCGGTTAAGAGTGCTCATAGCCAAATTACTTCCCAGGTTGTGTGTGCAAGAGCCATATATTCTGCTTCCATAGTGGATAAGGCTATAGTGGGCTGTTTCTTTGAACTCCAAGTAACAGCTCCCCCTGCATAGGTACAGATATAACCAGATGTTGATCTTCTATCTGTTCTATCTTCTCTCCAGTCTGAGTCTGAATAAGATATCAGCTCATCCATAGTCTCTCCATATGTGATTCTGAAGTCTAGAGTTCTCTTCAGATAGCAGAAAACTCACTTTAAGGCTGTGATATGCTCAGCAGCTGGATTCTGCACATACTTGCTTAATTTGGTGACAGCATGTGCAATGTCAGGCCAGGATCCATTGGCCACATACATTAGTGATCTGACATCAGTATGGTAATATTGCCTGATGGCTGTGTCAACACCTTGTGGGTTTTCTGTCAGAATTTTCTCTAGCCATACATTTAGGTTCATAGGCATTTTGACCAGTTTGCAGTCATTCATGCTCATCTGCTCAAGTACTTTGAGAATATATATCTTCTGGGATAGAGTGATAGTGCTCTTGTCCCAATTCCTGTCTATCTTCATGTCCAATATATATTGAATCTCCTCTATGTCTGTGACATTTAGCTTCTTCTTAAGCTCTTTTTTCATTTCAGATATAGTTTCATTATCTGAGGCAAGCAATGTCATGTCATCAACATGTACAGCTATGATTATGGGACCAGAACCCATTTGTCTGATATACACACATTGATCACTGATCAATCTGATGTATTCAAGTCCCAAAAATATAGCATTTAATTTGTCATTCTAAACTCAGCCAGATTGCTTGAGTCCATACAATGTTAATTTGAGGTGTGCCACTTTTCCACTCCCATCTAAATATTCAGGTGGCTGTGCCATATAAATGGATTCATTGAGTTTACCATTTAAGTAAGCTCCAACAACATCCATTCCATGAATGATTAGGTTTCTTTGAGTGGCAATTGCTATGAGTAGGTAGAATATGTCCAGCCTGACAACTGATGCATATGTCTTGAAGAAATCAATGCCAAATACCTGCAAAAATCCTTTTGCAACAAGTCTGGCCTTGTACCTGGTGATTTTCCCATCACCATTCATTTTCAATCTGTAAGTCCACTTGCAATCCACAAGAGATCTGTCTTTGGGTAATTCTTCCAGCTGCCATATACCTAAGGAAGTCAATAGATTGTATTCTTCATCTATTGCTTTCTTCCAATAATGTCAGTCTGGTCTTGTTTTGGCTTCTTCAAGGCTTAATGGCTCATCACTGAGGTTGTCTGCAGTTTTTCCAATGCATGTATAGTCTATTGCAATATTTACAGCTTCCAAAGATGATTCTTCTGAGATATGCTGTTGTTCTGATGTTTTTACAGCTCATATACTTGGATTATGAAGTGTCTGGTAACTTAGTTGGGTCTTTGATGTGATCTGGGCCAATTTGTTGCATGGCTTGATCATTTTCCTATGCTGTATTGGAAACTTTGATTTGATCAATGACACATCAGGGGCTATTTCCCCTTTTGGTTCAGCATTTCTGGCATCCATGGAATCATTCAAAATGCTATTATTTCCATCCAGAGTCTGCTTGACTTTGCTTTCTGACTCTCTCTCAAGTGACAAAGAGTGGAAGACTATATAGTCAGTGTCTATAGGCTCTGTAGTGTTGTTTTCAGAGAATATAACATTTTTTGAGGTCTGAATCTGCCTGGTTTGAGGGTTATAATATCTTCAGGCCCTGGATTCATCTGTAAGATCTGTAAAAATAAATTCTCTTGACTTTAGGTCCAGTTTTGACCTCTTGTTGTCTTGCTGCAACACCCAGCACTTTACTCCAAATTTCTGAAGTGCTGAAATATCTGGTTTCATGCTCTGAAACACTTCTTTTGGGGTTAGATCATTTTTGATAGCCCTGGTTGGTGATTAGTTCTTCAAATATGTGGCATATGCCACTGCTTTGAGCCATAGAAACTTTGGTAAGTGATGTTCTTCTAGCATAGCATATGCATGCTCCACAAGGGTCCAATTTATTCTCTCAGCAACTCTGTTTTGAGATGGGGAATATGCTGCAGTCAATTCCAACTGTATGCTATTGTCCTGGAGGTATTTCTTTACCTCTTCATTGACATATTTCTTTCTATTGTCAATCCTCATAAACTTCAGATTCTTTTCTTTGTGGACTTTGATGTATTTTTGATACTGCTGGATCTTCTTTCAAATTTCCATACCTTGCTTTGACTTCAAAAAATACAACATTGTCCTTTAGGATTTTCTATCTGTGAAGCTTATATAATATCTTTTATTATGGATACCCTGAATTTGAGCTGGCCCCCATAGATCTGAAAATGTCATTTCCCCTATTTCAGTATAGTCTCTTTTGGCTTCCTGTGGAAATGGCTTAGTATGATGTTTGGCTTTTATGCAAGCTATGCAATCTGTCTGAGACTCAGCTGACTCATCTATATCCATCCTCTTGACCATTTTCTTCCTAAATAGTCTCTTTACTGATCCCATGTTTAAGTGGCCTAATGTTTTGTGCCACTTTTGCCATGATCAGGCTGATTTCATAGCATAGGCCTGGGTTATTTCTGGAACAATGATGTTAAGGCTATACAGCTTTGATATTTTATCTCCATGGCTGATTATCTTGCCATATGGTGAGATAATATCCATTCCAGACTCTTTGAATTTGAGTTCAAATTCAGCATCTGTAATGTGCCCTATTGACATAAGATTGAATGGTGCATCAGGGCAGTGGATACACTCCTTTAGTGTGACTGGAGTGATCTTTTCTCCTTCAACTATTTTAATCTTGACAGTTTCCCTTTCTAAGCCTTTGGATTTGCCTACACCAATGATTTCATGTCCTGGGGTTTCAACATAGTCAGAAAAATATAATCTATTTTTGACTATATGTCTGGTGATGCTAGAGTCTCCTAGCTATGATACTCCTGAGAGTGAAGTAAGTGTGATATCTGTTGCACAAAATATATAGTCATCTTTTTCTGAGTCTGATTTAGCAACATGTGCCTGAGTCTGGCCCTTTCTCTTTCCTTTCCATGACTTTTTAGAATTCTTCTTTCTATTTGGGCAATTTGTCTTGATGTGATCAGTTTCCCCATATCCATAACATGTGACTTTTGGATTAGACTTCTTGCCATGTGCTGCAAGTGTCATGGTCTGATCAGAAGTCTTTTCCTTTAATCGGATGTCTTTCTGAAGAATTTGGGAAATCAACTTGTAAGAATCTTTCAAGTCAGCAGTATTCACTGATGAGATGAATGAATTCCATGATTCTGGAAGTGATATAAGCAGTGTGATAGAAAAGTCCTCCTCCTCGACTTTCTGCTTAAGGGATGCCAGCTCCTTCTGATAGGATCTCAAAGTCCTAATATGCTCCTCTATGTTTCCTCCTTCTTCGCACTAAGCTCTGAAGAATTTCCTTTTGACAAGGACAATTCCTATAGATCCTCTGGACTCATACATATCTTTCAGAGCTTTCTAGGCTTCTGCTGAAGTCTTTGAACTAGCAATATATACCAGTGGGCCATCTGAAACCCATAATCTTATTGTTGAAAGAGCCTTCCTATTGCTCTTCTTCCAATCTGCCACCAGTGTCATGTCTGCCAAGGCTGGAATGCTTCCATCTACATAATCAATTAGTCCTAAATCAGTTAGAATATCGATCATCTTGATTTTCCACATTGGATAATTTTCCAGGCTCTTAAGGGGGTCAATTCTATACATGGACTGGCTATCCATGCAGTTCTACATGTGTATGTAAAGTATGAAAGAGTGTGAAGTGAGTAGTGATATAAGTTCAGTTATGGCTGGAGCCCATAACCTGTTGTAAGTAGAGAGCAGAGTAATGTATAAAGGATTAGAATTAGCCTCAAGAGAGAGAGATGTTCTACTTAAATACATTTTGTATTACTTCAAGATCTTTCTATGAGATACTAAATAAGTCCAGATCACAATCCAAGTCAGCTGCCACTGACTGGCATTGTATCTCCAAGTACATTCTCATACTTGCTTGGGATTACTATTCCAACACTGAGGATTTTCAAGACATGTTGAGTCTCAAGCCTTGACCATCATTTAAAGCAGAGGTAGAGAAATGGAAAGATGTGTTCACTTCTTCCAAGTCATATATGATGCTAATAGAACATCAAAATACCAGCCTCATATTGTGTGCCAGCATCATCAGCTGCATGATAAACAGAGCTTGAATGTGTTTCTTGGACTTCTTGGGCTCAGAATGAACAATCTGATACTGTCAACTATCCTCAGACACTGGTATTTTATGTCTTCAAAAGATATTTATCTCCTCTCTTTCACAAACACATACAACATTGCCAGATGACAAGCAACAATGATGTCCACTGACAAAATATTTTAGATTCTTGAATAGAATGAATAGACTACCATGATGTTGAACTAGGATCAGGCAATATATCTCATAAACTTTAGCTACCTAAGCTACTTCTGTATGCTGAAACAAATGGAGGAGAGAGGAAATAAGCCACCAGCAGGCTTATTTATTGTGTGAGTGAGATTCTAGGGAAAGAGGCACTCTCCAAAACAAGTACAGGTGGATGCCACATGATATATCAGAAAAGGGTCATGATTTTCTGACAACAACCATCTATGTCAGTTTTCAGTGGGATATAGCACAGAGGAGAGTGTTCTTTTCTGATGAAAAGCATGAGAAGTATCTAAAGAAGATTATCAAATTTCTTATCACCAATCTTTAGCTGTCAGATACAAGAAAGTGTTGACATCCTATTATTCTTGAGACAATGGATGTCAGATACACCAAAGACAAAAGACTTACATTATTGGTAGAAATTACATTGTCCATAGGGTGGCAAATGCCACTCAGTCACAGTAGTATAAATACCTTGTAAATATCTAGAGCTACCTCAGTCAATTGTGCTATAAGCCTCAGACTGAGATATACATTATCTAGAAGTTGGTTTCTCAAATATTATGGGTTTTTTTTGCTCTATTAGAGCTTAAAAGAGATGAATAATGAAATCCTTACATTACATTTACATTATGTCTTCTCCAGACACTACCACTGCTGCCAATCCTGCCACTACCACTGCCATTGCTGTCTCTGTTCTTACTCCTTCCCCTGTTGGTCTGTCTCTGTCAGATATCTGCTCTATGGATTTCCAATGACTATTGGTCCCATTGATCAGTATCCTGGCCAACACCTTCAGCTCAGACAATGTGAAGCTCAATAAAGAGGAGAATAACTGGCACTCATAGAGTCAAAACATTCTAAATTATCTTACTCTCACAAGAGAGATTGATGAACATCTTCTTGGTATCACCATCTGTTCTGATCTATTGATAGAACTCTATGCCACCCAGAACTGAAAAAAGAATGATCATGCCACCCTAGCATTCATATCTCAACACTCTGTTTAGTCTAAGAGACTATTCCTATCTGGATTCACTACTGCAGCTAATGCTTGAAAAGCTCTGAAAATATGACATAAACAAGAGGGACTCATCATACAAATCAATCTCATTTAAGAGGCACTGGCTGTCCACTATACTCATACAGAATGCATAGTTACTACTACAGTGTATATCAAACATCTGAATATATGAATATAGGATATAGGTGATCCTGCATGGGATCTCTTCTTATGCATCTTAATGCTCAATACTCTATCTGGCAAAATGGCTTCAGTCCAGACTGTCATCATGCAGCTTATCAACCACTCTACTAAGGCTTCACCTGTCACATCAGCCAACATCAAACATGATCTCACTACACAACAACAACTGTTTGACTCTGATGAGGCCTATACAAAGGACACAGCACTTGTTGCAGTTACCCAAAAGCCCCATGGTTAATCCACCTGCATTAACTCAAAATGTTCATCACCAAAGAGCCACACAATTCCCTATTACATTGCAGAAGGAGGTGAAATGGCTGGCAAGACTGTAGAAGAGTCTTGTGCTGCACAGAAATAGAATAGAGATGGAAAGAAGAATTCACAAGAAAAATAGTCCACTTTATCAGTTTTAAAGGACAGTACTGGAAAAGTCTATGTTTTTAACATGAGCAATGAGTCATTTACTCCATTTCTCACATCAAGCAATTTTACAAAGCCCAAATTCACTGTGCTAGCATCAGAGCAAGCCACCTCTGAACTTCTTGATAGCCTTTCCAGCCTGTTCACAACTGAATACACTAAGTATCAGAGCTGGATGGCTATAATTGATGAAGTGCTGATCTCTGTTGACTGAGATAGCCACCATCAGAACATAGATGTTGCTTCTGCTATGACTATGCCATTAAATCAACAAAAAAGAACATCTATCTCATTGAAAGACTTTCCATATCTTTTTAACACTGGTGCTACAGCTCACCTGACTCCTGAATGAAGTGACTTCCTCACTCTGACTGCAATACCCCTCAAAGTGGTAAAAGATATTGGCAATTCCTCTATCTATGCTATCAGAGTAGACACTGTCTATATTCCAAACTTGAATGAGGCTCTCTTGACTCTACAGAATGTTCTATACATTCTATCAGCATCTGTATAACTCATGTCAATATCTTCCCTTATCTGAGACTCCAAACTAATTGTCCACTTTGATGACAACACATGTTGGCTTATATTCAAAGATACTGGTAAGACTATCATGAGTAGAAAACTCAGTCCAAACAGAAAACTATACAGTCTCATCCATGACACCTCTCTACAAGCTGAACATGCACTTATGACTATCTCTACTATCTCAGATCTTGAAATCTGACATAGACATTTTGGACATATTAACTATCAGACAATTGTCAAGATGATTCAATCTGACTCACTCTGAGGTATGCCCATTAATCTCTTCAAATTGCCACCAAAGTGTGACTTCTGTATTCTGGGAAAACAGATTAGACTGTCAATCTCAAAAATATGACAGGAGGGCCACAGAGTACAGTGAAGGCTTGAGATTGTCTGAGTAGATTTGATTGGCCCTCAGGCAGTGGTGTCACAGACAGATACATAATATGCTATAGACATTGTTGATGACTATTCCAGCCATATATAGTCAATACCTTTGTGAAATAAAAATGATTCTTTCTTGGAACTTCAGGCATAAAACAGGCTAGAGAAAATGAAACAGGACTGTGAGTTGGAATCTACCATACAGACAATAGTGAGCTCAAATCTAATGAGATGACTACTTGGCTCAAGTTCCACAGCATTCAGCAACAATTCACTGCTCCATACAGATCAGCCTATATTGGACAAGTCAAGAGACAGCATCATACCTTGATAAATAAGGCCTGTGCTATGTGACTGTATGCATCATACTCAGAAAACCTTTAGAATGAATTTTATCTGACAGCTGCTTACCTTGATAATCTTACAGCTACTAAATCACTAAACAGTATAATGCTATATGAAAAGTAGCATAGAAGGTGACCAGATGTAACTCACCTGTGAGAAATCAGCTGTAAAGCTTTCATGCTGATTCAGAATCAACATAACTCTAAGATACTATGATGCTCAGAGGAATGTGTCCTCATAGACTATGATGCTAATTTGAAGACCTATCATTGTTATTACAGAGTATCCTATAAAGTTATATTTTTTCACTATGTTCAATTCATCAAGTCCTATCAACTTGCTTCACAGCCTCCACAAGAGCCAGCAGCTCTCATATCTGCTCAGCCAGACCAAAACTCCACCCTCCTATTATTCACCATCAGCACTACCACTAAGGCTTTTTCTCTCTCTATTCTCAATGATAATCTACTGCTTATTTCTTCTCAACTGCAATTTGTTTTAGAAGTTCCTCCAGACAATGCTGCCCATAAACCTACACCTCCTGTTGTTTCAGACACTGAGAGAGATACCACACCTGATTCTTGTCACTCTGAGAGATTTGCCTCTAAAGTGACACCAATATTTTTATGGCTTGACTGTATACTGTCTGAAGTAAGAGACAACACACAGCATATTAAAGACCAGCAAGCTAAATAGAGATGACTGCTCACTGAATTACACACTATCTCTCTAGCTGCAGTATTCAGTCCTTCTAATACTAATGACACCCCTTCCAATGTCAATAATACTGCTTGTAAAGCTCTCCACACATCTCTGACTGACATGCTTAGTCTTGAAGTCTTTTTTGCTATTGATAATCTCTTTGCCCACATTGGGCATGAAGTCTTAGCTGTTGTTAGCCTTGAGGATAAGCCTGCAACATAGGAGAAGGCAAAACAGTCTGCTGATGCTGACTACTGGCTCACTGGCTACTATGATAAACTTCAATCCTTGAAGGACATGGGAGTTTATAAGCTGGTTTTATACTTCACTATCCCCTAAGATCACAAGATATGAAAGAGCCAGCCTGTTTTTAAGATCAAGAGAGACAAATATAGCAATGCTATATGATGGAAAGTTCATGTTATCTTCAAAGGCTTTGAACAGATTTTTGGCTATAACTATATAAGGACTATCTCTCCAACTGTCTGAATGGAGTCTTAGTGAATTTTGCTTCATCTTGCAGCTGCTTTTGATTAGGACATTCAGCAAATCAACATTAAAACCACCTTCTTATATAGCCTCCTGTCTGACAATGAAGTTCAATATATGAAGCAACCAAAAGACTTTGAAGAGATCAGGAAAGAAGACTGGATTTAGCAATTATAATGGAGACTCTATAGTATGAAGTAGAGTGGCTGTATTTGAAATCATACAATAAATGAGGCTATGCTTTCTTGAGGGTTTACACAGTTGAGTAGTGAGTATTGCATCTACTATCAGAAGACAGGTACTAGAGTTGTTATGGCTGCTGTCTATATTAATGATTTCCTCTCTGTCACTAGCTCAAAGGAGGAGAATAAGTTCTTCAAAAAGCAAATGTGTCAGAAATGGATCATCTCAGACCTAGGAGAAGCCAAATTTTGCATCAGTATTGCAATTTAACAGGATCACACCAATAAGATTGTTGCACTATCTCAAACAGCTCTAATTAATTGGATCATCCAACAATTTGATCAAACTGATGCTCACCCCACTTCTACACTCATAGAACCTGGTCTCAAACTTAGACAATATGATCCATCCTCTCTATCAAATGAAGATCAAGCTATCCCCCAGAAGACACCATACTGATCTCTTGTTGGATCTCTTATTTATCTTTCTGTCAGAACTAGACCTGACATATTTTATGCAGTTCAACAACTGTCAAGATTTCTGAATCATTACACCTTCATACACTGGAATTCTGCTATCCATATTGTCAGATATCTGAAAGACACCAGGGATCTAAAATTACACCTTGAAGGTAAACTAGGCCTGACCAATGATGTGCTTGGTAACAGCTAAGTGACTAAGAGAAGTGAATGAGGAAT